TATAGTGGACCGGTCAGGATGATTTTGACTCCTTCACGGCAGGGACTGTAGTTTGCCTCCTTTTATGTTCCCTGCACTTATCGCAGTGTCTGGCACAGAGTAGGCACCCCTAATCAAAACTGTTTGTCCTTCATTTTGAAGAGGACCAATGACATCAGGGGGTGATGACTTGCACATGAATTGGATTTAAGTGAGGCAGAATTGCACAAAGTCGGTCAGCCTCATACTGTCTTTGAGAGTCATTGAAGTCACATGGCAAGACTACTTGCTCACTACTAACTCACAAGTTAGTACTACTGACCCATGATGCAGTGGATGACCTTAGTGTTTTTGATGTCTGCCTGAGCTCTAAGTGCTCCACAACACCTGCTTCAGCCATTTTTATGGCCTTTGGAACAAATTGTTCTTGTCTGCCCATTCTGCCCGGGAATTCTTAAAAGCTTGGGGGTAGACATCCCCCCTAAGTCACCGAAAGATTTGAGGCCCGTGTCTTACCCTCAACCTAGTTTAGCCCACCTGCCTAGAAGGTGTATGGGGTTGTTGCAGGAGGATTAGCACCTCTGCTGTGAGGGCTTGCCTAGCCTTTTTCAGGGCTGCTCATTTACCTTTGGTGTTCAACTTTCACCCATTTCTCACCTGTGGCTCCAAGAAGTTGTAGCATGTGCAACTAACACATACCCAGTAAAAAGGCACTTAATCAATATTCATTGATTTTTGTGATTTCTTCTAGATTAGACCTGCAGTGTGTTAGTAGGAGCAAATGAGGCAGATGGTTGGAGTAATCCATGGTTGAGATTTAGTAAGGTATTAGCAACAATGACACAAGGTAGCAGTATCTCTCCATTGTCTATTGGGTCCAAACTTCTTACCTTGGTATATAAGGCCATCTATAATTGGGCGTCTAACCTACACAACCCTATTCTTACAATTCTTTAATACATTTCCTCTGTTCTAGTCAGGCAAGCCTTCCTGTTCATACCATGTTCTTTTTTACCCCCTTGCCTCGTTTCATAGTATTGCTCTGGGTACCCGAAATTTCTTTCTTCTCCATCTGCTTAAATCCAACTCATCCTTTAAGGCCCTGCTCATATTTTGCCTCTTCCATGAGGTTTTCCTTTTTGATGGTGCTTTTCACTGACCCCTCTCTCTCTTACCTATTTCTACTACATATACAGCTTATGCAACATAATTCAGTGCTTAATGATATCATGTCTTCTATTGTTTACTATTATTTCTTGAATTTAGTCATGTCTCATACTTCTGTATCCCATATTACTTCTCTAAAACTTTTTTTGTCCTAGAGAAAGGTCAGAGTACACATAGCAGATGATGGATAAGTACTTGTTGGCTTATCATAATTTTTACTCAGGTATATTCATGGCAGATGGAGTAGATGACCTGAATAAATGTAAGCTTAGAGGCAGTCTTTTAGTTAAAGATTCCAATTTACTTTGTTTATGTCAGAATGGAGTTTGAAACCTATATTAGCTAAAAGTTAGTAGTACAATACAGACATTTGGGCTGCTGTTCCCTAGTTTTCATGTTAGCATCATCAAGAGGGGTACAGTGAGTAGAGCTGACCTCAAAGCCAGGAAGATCTGGGTTCAAGTACTGCCTCTGACACATATTGACCATGTGACTCTGGGCAAGTCACCTGATCTCCCAGTGTCTAAGCAACTCTGTACAACTACAAGTAGTAAATAAGGTGCCAGCTCACTTTGGCAGAGCAAGTTTCCTCACTTGTGCATTCCAGTCTCTACCAGTGGAATCTTAGGTCTTGGCCCTGCCCTCATTTTCCCTTAGGTTTTCTGAGATTCTGTCAGCTCTGATGGCTCATGTTCTATATAGTGGGTGGTTGCTCCTGTCAGCCATATTAGTTTGACTTTTCCTTCTTTGGACAGATAAATCATGGGTCTGTTGTTGGTGAAATAGCATATGGAAGTTTGATATCCTTTAAGGTAAACAGGGATATTTTTAAATGAGAAAAGTTTCCTCAAACAGGCTATTCCATGTAGCTCCGTGCACTCATGAAATCTTCACAGGAACATGTGGAACTGTTTTCCTCAAAAAATCGATATTGGGATTTTTGTTCATTTGATCATTTTGTTCAACAGAAAATTCATTGAGTTGCTTCATTTTATTGATTGATTGATTGATTGCCTTTTTGGTGAGGCGATTAAGTGACTTGCCTAGAGTCACACAGCTAGCAAGTGTCATGTGTCTGAGGTCGAATTTGAACTCAGGTCCTCCTGATTCCAAGGCCGGAGCTCTATCCACTGTGCCACCTAGCTGCCCTGGGTTGCTTCATTTTTGAGCCTTTGTTTTTGAATGGTCTGTCAAAATGGTATTGATTGTTGTTGTTATTATTCTGGGCATCAGGGAAAGGGAATGTAGGAAGGCACTGCTTGCGTTGCTTTGTCTATGGTGCGGCACTACTTTTATGTCAAGTCTGGGCAAAATCAGTGGGAATGAAGGTTGGAGTATATTCTTTCTGTAATATAAGTCAAAGGTTGTGTAGCCATAACATTTTAGAAGGAAATAAATATTCTGTAGAGTTTAAAGTAAGTGCATAGTTTTCATATGATGCTCTTTGACTACCTGGATAAATGTGACAGGTAGTTAGTTCATAGCCTCATAGATTGAAAGCTGGGAGGAACTTAAGAGATCATTGAGTTCAACCTCTTCATTTTACAGATGAGGGAACTGCAACCCTGAGAGGTTAAATGATTTTTCCAAGCTCTATAATATAAAGAGCTGGAGGTGAGGTATTTGAACCCATGTCCTCTGACTCTGAGCCAGTTAGTTCTCTTTCCATTATACAGCACTGCCTCAAAGCCCAGTGGCTTTAGAGAAAAGGCTGTTCATTTTCACTGTCATAAGTGATACAGAGTTGATATTTTTTAAGGGTGATCCTTTCCTTTTTGATGGTCTTACTCTTAATCTCTCTTGGCCTCAGTTACTCCATCCAGTGAGACTGCACTAGATACATTTTTAATTCAACAAAGATGTATTCAGTGCCTACTGTGTATGTGGTAGTATTAGTTGCTGGGGAAAGACAAAAGTGAATGAGCCCCTGTTCTCATGGGGCTGGCGTTCCTACAGGGTGGCGAGGATTAGATATGTCAAAAGGCAAACATAAGTATGTACAAAATAATTCAAAGAGATTTCATGACAGAGCTCTCCTAACTGGGGAGAATCAGGGCAGGTCCTTAAGCTAAGAGGTGTAACCTGAACTGTGCTTTGAAGGAAGCAAGGATTTCTGTGTGATAGAATTGGGGAAGAGGCATATTGCAGATAGAAGACCACTTACGCAGAGACCCGGAGGCAGAGGATAGAATGCCAGGAACCAAGGAAGAGTGGGGCCAGTTTGCCTGGAATGGCATTCAGGGGAGTCAGATGGAATAATACTGAGAAAGTAGGTGGCAGCCAAATTGTGAATGGCTATCAGTGTCAGTCTGAAGAGTTCCTGTTTTATTCAGGCTACTAGATATATCCACTGAACACTTGAGCTTGAGAATGACATGATCATATCTGTACTTTAGGAAATTCCAGTTTGGAGCATGGTTTGGAGAAGGAACAGTGGGACGGACAAGAAGGCTAATTGGTACTTGCAATTGTCCTCTGGTGTACTTATAAAGGTCTGAATGAGAGGGTGGAGACTGTGTAGATAGAAGGGGATGAATGTGAGGAATATTGTGGAGGTGGTCCCTAGACTGTCACTCAATCAGCAGCCAAACTTCTATAAGCATTTAACGTGTACAAGGAACTGCTAGGCATTAAGAGATACAAAAACTCAAAAAAAAAAGCTTTTTCCCCCTCAAAAACCTTACATTTTATTGGAGGAGATAACATGTATACATAAGAGTATATGCAAAAATCCCACCAAACAAACATGAAGTTTTAATGAGTACATACTAGTAATTGGGGGGATTCAGAAAAACTGACCTTAGCTTTGAAGGAAACAAAGAGGAAGGTGAAAAGGAAATCCATTACTAGCACAAGGCTTTGTAAAGGCATAGAGACAGGCTGGAGGGCCATGTATGAGAATAGCAAAAATGCTAGTTCGGCTGAACCACAGAGCAGATGACAAGGAAGAAGGTCTATAAGCCTAGGGAGGTAGCTTAGAGCCAGGTTGTAAAAGGGAAGAAGGCTATAAGCCTAGGGAGGTAGCTTAGAGCCAGGTTGTAAAAGGTTTTAAAATGCCAAATGGAAGAGTGTGTATTTGATCTAAGTGGTGCTAGGGAGTCACTGGATTTGAGCAGCCCAGTGACATGGTAACTAACCCTGTGCTTTAGGACCATCACTTTGGCAACTCTGTGGAGGTCAGATATATGAGACCACTTAGGTGGGGCAGTGAAAAGAGTATCAGATTTGGATTCAGAACACTTAGATTAAATCTTGTTTCAAATAATTCCTGTCAGCAAATCATGTCACTGTTTTGGGGCTAATTTTCTTTATCGTTAAAATGAGGGGTTTGGATTAGATCCAGGAAAAACACTTCACCTGGTGTTCATGAACTTGTTTTAAAAAATATTTTGATAACTATATTTTCATATAATTGGTTTCTTTTGTAATTGTGTAGTTTATTTTGTGCATTTAAAAACATTTTTCTGAGAAGAGATCATAAGTTTCATCAGACCATCAATGAGATCCACGTACAGAAAAGATTAAGAACCACTGGTTTAGTTGATCAGCAAGGTCCCTTCCAGTTCTAAATATATATTATGCTTCAGCTACATTATGGGTAAATTAGGCTTTTTTGTGCCAGTCTGGCAACCATTTTATAATTTTTTTATTTGGCAAATGAGTTGAGTACCCAAAAATTAAATAAAGAAAGAAGCTTTTAAAACATAGTCTGTTTATAGATTGAAGACTACCTGTGTATTAACTTGAGCCCAGCGTATTATATATCAGGCTTATTTTGTCTTTTTTTGCTTTGAAGAGCAAAACTTTCCATCCTGTATATATCCCTTATTAACCTTTGTGTGTTTGATCTATAGGAAAAGCCTTTGACATCACATATGTGCGCCTGAAGTTTCACACCAGTCGCCCTGAGAGCTTTGCTATCTACAAACGTACCCAGGAAGATGGGCCCTGGATTCCGTACCAGTACTACAGTGGCTCTTGTGAAAATACCTACTTGAAATCCAACCGTGGTTTCATCAGGACAGGCGGAGATGAACAGCAAGCATTGTGCACTGATGAGTTCAGTGACATTTCTCCTCTCACTGGAGGCAACGTGGCCTTTTCAACATTGGAAGGAAGGCCCAGTGCCTACAACTTTGACAATAGCCCTGTGTTGCAGGTAGGGGTCTGAAAAACATGGTCAGCTTTGGAGGTGGCAAACTCTGCCACATACTCAGCCCAAGAAGGGAATTGAGGAGGGAAGAATTTGCGGAGGACTTAGAACATTATTTCAGAGATGACAGAGTAGATTAAATGCCTAGTGAATGGTCAGCAGTATTTTGTGCTTAATCCCTGTATGCATTACAAAGTTAAAGCAAAATTATCTTGTTTTTACTGTTCAGCTAAATTTTATAATCTTGTTTGTTCTTTTCTTTACAAACCACTTGAAAATACATTCTGAGAAATGAATTCAGTAATTATTTCTTGAATTGAGTAGTTTTAACATTAACTTCCATAGTTGAGACAGAAAACTTGTGCTTCTGGCTTTCAAAAGGAATATTAGGGTTTGACTTACTTAAGTTTATTAGCCATGTTTCCTTTTTCCTTTTTGACATTTCACACGAAGTCAGACTTATTTTAAATATTAAAAGGGTCACTCAGATAAAATCAAGGCAAGTTTCAGTGTGAGATTAGTTCCCTTATAAATCTGTTTACTTTGAATCTTCCATGAAAGTATTGTGAAATGACACATGTGAAAACTCAGACAAATTGATTTCCCAATGTATATTCTTTTTCTTATGAAATGGGTGATCTTTGGTGGAGAGATTATTACTACAGTGAGATGAAAAAGAGTAGTTAATTCCCAGTTGCATAGGGGAGAGTGCCTCCTTTGAATTACTTTTCCAAGAAGAGACATCTAGTCAAAGTAATTTATACATGTGTGTTTGGCAAACATATAAATAATATATCAGCATCTGAAAGGAGAGCTATGTGGCTGCACCATGACTTAAATTTGTGTAAATATGATAGAAATATTTCTTTATAAGGAATAAGGAATGAAAGGATAAAGGTGGTTACTGTTTTGTGCCTTTTGGGACCTTTACTGATAAACTATATGAGTGCATCAGCTAATTTTGTTTCTTAGCTCTACCTGCACGTTACCTACTTGAGTCTTTATATTATGGAACCATCATGTACTGATTGGTTGGCCACCTATACATACTTATGTCACTAAATTTTGACTAGATATTAATGGAAAGATGAGAGAATCTTATTGGCAGAGTTAGGGTTGGAGGGGAATTGGCTTCATTTGGCCAAAGGTCATGTGATAATACAGCAACGTCAGGGTATGTTAATTTGCAGAGGCAAGGGAAAAATTGGAAGTGGTTTTGCCAGTGTTATATTAACATTATAAAAGGTTATTTTCTGTTTTGTCTTTCTTTGCCTTACTCTTAAGTGTCTCCTTATCTTGGCTTGTAGACATCTAGTTTTGGAATTTCTGTTCTAAATCTCTTTTCCCATTATAACTGTGTGAACTCTGAATGAATGCGTAAGACAGCACTCTGATTGACTTTCACTTTCTCTAGCTCCCTTCTGTTTGTATTTCTTTATGAATATGTTTGCCTGTTTTTATTGTGGAATAATAAAAGCATAAGGTGAACAGCTTTGCTCAGTACTCTGTTCCAGGTGAATATTCTTAGGTCTGATGATAGTTCTTCTCCCCTCCCCCCCAAAGATAGGTAGGAAACATTTGATATTAAAAGAAGTGAAATATTCATGGAAGGTGGAATAGATAGCTTCAATAGATGGAAAAACAGAAACTAGGAACTAGGTTATGTGTAAATTCTTTTAGTCCATTCCAATCATCAGAGCCTTTCATGAAGCATGTGTGCATATATACATAGGTATGTAGGTCCTCATTGGGTGGGACATCAGTGCTTACCTTATCTAGTAATACGAACAGTAGTAACACATTATAGACAGCAACAGTCAGGTTTCAGTTTGCTTCATTGAAGGGAACTTCCGAAGTGATGAAATTACAAACCCATTGGGACTTAATGAATATGTGTATGTGTGTATATGTGTTTGTGCATTTTTAACTTCTTAAAGAGACAATAATATAATTTTTCTAGGAAAAGTGATCACTGAGCTAGGATTTCTGAGTGGTTGTCCTAACATTGGGCATATCTTTTAGTGTCTCCCATTTCTAGGAATGAAGGCATTTGCTGCCGTCTAAGTCAAAGTAGTCTTGTGGATATAAGTGAGCTAATTTTCTGAAATTCTTTGGACTTTTTAAAATTTCACTTAACATAATGATCTTGAAACATATAATGTTCCATTTGTATATAATGTTCTTTTAGGTGCCAAGCAATCTGAAACTGGCATAGAATCATTAAGTCTCCATAGAGCTTTCAATTAAGACAGCACTTAGTTGAAGAATTTAGAGGTTATAGACACATTATAAGCAGTGATTAAATACAGTAATAGGTTTAGCTAATTGAATTGTATACAAATAAAGTGGAATTGTGAGATTGTAAGTAGGAGTTGTTTCTAGAGTTCTACTGTGCAAGGTGAAATGAGGGAAAAATTGCCCTCTACTTACTTAGGTGATTATCCTTGATTGAGAAGAGGTGGGGGAGGGAGAGGAGACAGAGAAAAAGAGGGAAGAGAGAAAGAGAAGGAGGGAGAGAGAGAGGAGACAAAGACAGGAAGAACAGGAAGGGAAGCAGAGAGGGGGAAAGAGTTCAAGAGCTGCTCAGAATGAAAGATGAAAATCTGTGTGTGGTGGAATGATCTTTGTGGATGGTTTAGGAAAAGAGTTGAAGTGAATAAATTGATGTAAGGGAGGCTACTGAATAGATCTACCTAAAAAGAATGGAAGCAGAAAGCGAGACGGTAGAGATCCTAGAGAGGTGAAAGTTACTGAATGTGACTAGAGAGGATTGATATTGGAAGGCAGAACTGTGGTGAAATGCCTAATTTCATACTAAATCTTTGCTTTGACTTTTTAAAAAAATACATTATTTTGTCTCTAAGTCCCCCCCCCCTTTTTTTATAGGAATGGGTAACAGCCACAGACATCAGAGTAACCCTCAATCGCCTGAATACTTTTGGAGATGAAGTGTTTAATGACCCCAAAGTTTTGAAGTCTTATTATTATGCAATTTCTGATTTTGCTGTGGGTGGCAGGTAAGTAGATTATTAAATCAGAGCTAAAAAGTGGTGAAATTTTTTTCCCCTGTTAACATTGTGGTTTACCAACTTGTTTTACAACTACATTTATTGATTCGGTCATTAGATTTTTTTTCCAAATAAGATGATATCCTTCTGATTAATCCTCTTTTCATATTCTGTTTTTCCAGACAACTTAACCTACTAGCTGTTCTCTAAACTTGATGTATCATTGCTTATTTTTGTGCCATTTCACAATCTATCCCCCTTTTGTGTAGAACTTTACCTTATACTCTTAGAATGTTTTGCTTCCTTCAACGCTTAGCTCAGCTGCCTACTCCCACCATGAACCTTGCCTAATATACCCAAAATATAATAGCTTTTCCCTCCTGAAATTATTTTGTATATAACTATCTGTTTTTATTTTAAATCACATTTTTTTAACCCTAGCTTTTTACGTGATGCCTTGTATATAATACTTAATAACTACTTGTTATTGTTCTATAATAGGAGCAGTAGAACTAGGAGAAGCATTGTCTCTAGAACTGTTCTTTGGTTTAGTTTTAATCATTCAAGGTGATAAACTTCTAAGTGTTTAAAAAACTGTATCAACATAAGTCTGCATATTAGCTGCTTATTATGAGTAAGACCTTATGCTAATTGTTCCCAGGGATACAGAAACAGTGAGATATTGTCACTCCCCTCCATTCGACAAGTCAATAAGCATTTATTAAGCACCTTTTACGTACCAGGTACTGTTCTAGGCTCTAGGGAGACAAAGAAAGGCAAAAAATAGTCCCTGATCCCAAGGACCTCACAATCTAGTGACGAAGACAACATGAAAACAACTATGTGCAAAAAAGATATATGCAAGATAAACTGGAGATAATTACAAAAGGGAAAGTCCTAGCATTAAGGTGGATTGGGAAAGGCCTCTTATAGAAGATGGGATTTTAGCTTGGACTTGAAGGAAGCCAGGGAAGCCAAGAGAGGGAGATGAAAAGGAAGAGAATTGCAGGCATGGGAGACAACCCATGAAAATTCAAGGTGTTGGGAGGTGCAATATTATGTATGATGGACAGCAGAGAGGTCAGTGTTGCTGGAATAGAGGAAGTTGTAAGAAGACTAGAGAGGTAAGAAGGGGAAGGCGCCTGATTGTGGAGGGCTTTAAAAGCCAAACAGAGGATTTTATAGTTGATCTCGAAGTAACTGGGAGCCACTGGAGTTTATTGAATGGGGGTGTGATGTGGTCACCTTAGGAAGGTCAGTATGACAGCTGAGTGGATGAGAGTAGAGTGGGGTGAGACTTGAGGCAGGGTGACCAACTAATAGGTGATTGCAGTAGTCGGGGTATGAGTTGATAAGGACCTGTACCAGGATGGTGGCAGTGTCAGGAGAGAAGAGGGATGTGTACAAGAGATGCTAATAAGGAAGAATGTCCAGGATATGGCATCAGATGGGACATGTGGGGTAAGAGAGAGTGAAGAGAGAGTCATTAGGATAACAGCTAATTTGGGAGCCTGAGTAGTATGCTAGAAACTTACAGCACATCTAGGAAGAGGGGAAGGTTTGGATGCATTCAGTTTAAGAAGTCTTTGGGATATCCAGTTCAAGATGGCCAATAGACAGCTGAAGATGTGCGATTGGATATCACAAGAGAGGATTAGAGCTAGATTTGTAGATTTGAGGATCATCTGCATAGAAATGATCATTGAATCTATAGAAGTGAAGAGATCACCAAGTGAAATAGTATAGAGGGATAACGGAAAAGGGCCCCCTGTGACACACCCATGGTTAGCAGGTATGATGTGGAAGAAGGTTCTGCAAAGGAAACTTGTAGGAGTAGTCAGGTAAGTAAGAGGAGAACCAGAAGAAAATAGTGCCCCAAAAACCTGGAATGAACAGTATGAAAGGAGAAGAGGGTGATGGGACAATGTCAGAGGCAGCGCAGAAGTTAAGAAGAATGAGGTTTGGGAAAAAACCATTGGATTTGACAATTAAAGAGATCACTGGAAATTTTGGAGAGAGCAGTTTCAGTGGAATGATGGGGTCAGAAGACAGACTAGAGAAGAGAAGTTAAGAAAGAGAATGAAGAGAGGAAATGGAAGCACTTTCTGTAGATGACCCTCTCAAGAAGTTGAGCCACATAAGGGAGGAGAAATAAATGACAATAGCTACTGGAGATGAATAGATCAAAGGAGGGGTTTTTGTTTGTTTGTTTTGGGGGGGGTTGTGTTTTTGAGGGTGAGGGAGGCACGGTCCTGTTTTTAGGCAATGGGGAAGGAGCCAGTAGACAGGGAGACATTGAAGATGAGTTAGAGATGGAGATGACAAAGGGAAGCAATCTTTTGTGGAAGACTGGATGGAATGGGGTTACTTATACTTGTAGAGGGGTTTGCCTTGGCAAGAAGGGCCGGCCACCACTTCATATGAAAGAGGGGGGAAGGAGGCAATAGAGGGAGAAGGAATCTGAGAGATACCTGAGAGTTCTGTGAGAAGAAGAGTAGGGGACAAGATGAAGCTCACAGTAAATGCCCTCAGTTTTTTCAGTGAAATATGACTCAAGGCTCCCAGCTGAGAGAATGGGAGAAGGAGATACAGAAGAGACTTTAAGGGGATGAAAAGGTTTAGAAAAGTCATTGTGATGACAGTGCATTGATTAAAGTGGTATAAAAGAGTTGCATTGCTACTGTGAGAGCCCAGTTGAAATTATATAATATGTTTGTTACAGACCTGGTCAACACAGTTCTGTGATTTTCTCCAGCTTCATTTGGTAAAAACAGCAGGTGGTGAAATTATTCCAAAGCTGAGGCTTGGCAGGACCTAGGATAAGGGTGCAAGGGACTGAGAGAAGAGACCAGTGTAAAGTTTCATTCACCAAGGGGTCAAGATAGAGAAAGAAAGAGTGTAACAATGTAGTGGTGATGGCCCCTGGAGAAGAACTGAGGGGTAGAGGGATTGGAGGTTGTGGTGAGGGCAAAATACAGACTTGGGGCTTACAAGGTGCAGGGAATGGTGAAGTGACCATAGATTGAGATCAGAAGGGAATTTCAGTCTTTGGAGACTGCAAGAGAATTTCAACTTTGATAAGTTGGTATGTAATCCATAAAAGTGGAGCACTTGTAGCTGATGGCAAGATCAAGGATATTATCATGGCTGACCAGAGTTGATGTGAGGTAGAGGAGTAACTGGTCATGGGAATTGAGTAAAGAGGAACTGTGAAGGTCAGATATTTAAAGGAAGGATCAGTATGTTTCTGAGGAAAGAGGAATGCCTTTGGAGGCTGGTAGATTACACCTCCCAGAGCTTTGATTGGGTGGTTACTGAGTAATACTATTAGTAGTCCTGGGCCAAGGTTTACTGAGAGAAGAGCCGTGATAGGACGAGGGGTCAAGGGCAAGAAGTAGAACTGCAATAGAGAAGTACTGAGTTGAAGTTTGAGAGAGAGGAAAGGGAGATCAGAGCAAAGGAGAGAAAGTGTGAGGGGTGGAGGAAATGGATATAGGATGTGGAAATAGGGAGAGGGACAAAAGGGTCGGCTTTATTCACTTTATGTTGTCCTTGTGCATGAAGATGCTTCTGCTAGCTGACGTGTTCTTTAAGAAGTTTTTTCATTGTTAATGGCAGGCTCCACCATCTTTGACCTGCTTTTCTTTTTATCCACCTCTTAGTGAACTGGCTGACTAATGTTAAGGTTGCTATTATGACTGGTTTTCTTTTTCTTTGTAAAGATCACTGATTTATTAAAAGTGAACCTGCTTGTAGGAAAATAGTAGTATTAAATGTAGTTTAAAGTAAATGCTACAGCCTATGAACTACCTCTAAAATCCTTTAGTAAGTAGTTACCAGCATGAGTCCTTTGTTCATAATCATATCAGGTAACGATTTGAACATTAGAAAAGGTACTAACAATGACTACTTATATAATCAGTTGTTATTGGCTATCATAAACTATCTTTGCTCAGAACTTTTACTTTATCCCTGATCTAGAAAGCTCTGAAATTCTTTTCACTTCTGTTCTGTCTTTACAACCTCACTGCCCACAAGCATCATTTTTTGAGGCTCTTTGAGAGTTATATTTTATTAGTTTACTTCTCTCTGCAGGTGTAAATGCAATGGACATGCAAGTGAGTGTGTGAAGAACAACTTTGATAAGTTGGTATGTAATTGCAAACACAACACCTATGGAGTAGACTGTGAAAAGTGTCTTCCTTTCTTTAATGACCGGCCATGGAGGAGAGCAACTGCAGAGAGTGCCAGTGAATGTCTGCGTAAGTACCCTGCATTTGACAACTACTAATTAATCTATAAGTTGTTTTTAGAATCTCCAGTGGAGAAAAAGGGAGCTATAAATTGCTTCATCATGTATTTTTGTTAAGAGGAAAATGCAGAAATAATAGCTTTTCGTTTGAAAATTGAAGGAGTCTTAGTAGAAGACTGTAATCATGTTAGTAGGAAGTTACACAAATGAAAAACTCATCTATATATAGACGTATAAATCTCTATGTTTTATGATCATACTTTGATGGGCATGCCTACAAAATGGAGCTTGAGCCATAAGAATTCAAAACTTTGCTTAGGTTCCTATGTTATCCCTGTCTTACCTTTCTTCTTTAGAAAGCCAAAGCAGTGTAGAACAAGAGAGGTCATTGCCCATCTGGAAGAATATCTATGTTTATAGTATATTAACCCAATGAGGGTTTGAGCTTAAAGCAAAAATCTATGTATGGAAAAAAGCAAGTTAAGTAGTTCTGCATCAGCTCTTCCTCTTCTGAGAATGCTTTGAATGCCTTTGTGTATAGTGGTATATTAGCCATTATGCAAAAAACTATCTATCCTTAATTTATAACTAACTAGCTGACTAGTGAGATAACATACCCCCAGATCATTATGTCTTAAAACACTGCTTTTACTGTATGGCATCTCCCTCCTTAAAAAAAAAAAAATAATAACGCTCCATTTCAGATTTCTACTTTATGTGGAAGGAAGTTACACAAGGCCTTAACTACATTATTCTGGAGTTCACAAGTGATTGTACACTTAGAAGGTGCTAACCAAATGTTGAAGACTCTCGGGATAGTTGCCATTATGAACAGAAAAATTTATCTCATAAACTTCAGCATCTGGGAAGTGTGAGGCTAAATTTCTGGACTTTTTCAAACTTAAAACAAACAGCCTGTGATCATTATGGAAATTATAGCTTGATGATTTGGAATGCAGCATTTCTAAATGGTAGGAAGCAGTCTTTTAATTGCAAAGTATATCATAAGGGAGCAAGAATAGAGAGAGAAAGTTGGTGCTAAGCACACCTCCAGGAGTGCAAAAAGAACCCTTCTCCTTGCAGATTTTTCTCCTTTATAATAATTTGTTTGCAAAATGCTTGTTGTAAAGAAAACACTTGATTAAAAAAAAGGAAAAAAAAAACAAACACGTGAGGATATTTTAGTAAATGACCTACATTGACATTTGCTAACTTGTAATAATTTTATTGTTTTTATTTTGAGGATAAGGCTAAATTTAGGTTATTGAAAGACAACAAATGGTTTTAAAAATCTTTTTATTCCATTCTCATTTCCTATAAAATATATTTTAATGCTATCTTTATTTTAACTAATGCACAGTGCTTCATATAAATAAGTATTTCATGTTAGCTAAAATAAAGATAGCATTAAAATGTAAGTATTTCATGTTATCTGAAATAAAGATGGCATTAAAATGTACTTCTATAGGAAAAAGCAAAGCATTTCACAATAGTATTTCATCTCACCCTCACAATAATCCTTTGATCATCCCATTTCACTGATTTAGGGTACTGAGGCTCTGCAAAATTAAATGAGTTGCCTGTGGTCCCATAGTTAGAGTCTAAACCTCTTTCCACTACACTATATTGCCTATCACTTTATATTCCATTATGTCATCTTATATTGTAGTTTTCCCCGCAATGTTTCTTTTTAAATAGAAGAAGTGACCATCATTCATAATTTACATGAGGGCCAAGCAGGAATAAAATCCTGGCCTTTCTGACTTTAACTTTTTTATTATTATAACAATAACAATGTTAAATTGCCCTATTTCATGAACTATTTAATGTAAACATATAATTTTGAGACAGAATTATAGTCGCATATAGTAATAAGAATTCAACTGTATGAATTACTTTGTAGATCAAGCAGCAGCTCCTCAGCTGCTTCCAGCGACAGGAATGTCAGGCTCCTTGACATGGTGATGTGAGAAGGTGGCAGGGAGAGCATGCATAGATTTTAGTTTACCTGGGAAGAAATAGAGAAAAAAAAAAAGTAATATTTCTTTCTGAAGAGAATTGTTTTATTTATCTCTGAGGAGGGAGAAACTATGAAACTATGTAGGCATAGTTTGTCAAGGAATGAAATATGAAACAGCTTACTAAACCCTGAAAGAAGTTGTATTTGTATTCCATCTTCTGTTTGAGTTCTTCTTTCTCTCTTGGCAAGAAATTACAGTTTAAAAAGTAATATATGCTTAATTTGCAGCTAAGCTAATTGATGGAGAACTATAAAGCTCTCGATTTGCTTGGCCTCAGAGGGTAGAACCTAGGCCTGATGGGTGGAAGTTTAAGGGAGGTAAATTTCAGCTTACTGTAAGGAAGAATTTTATAGTAATTAGAGCTGTCCAAAAGTGGAGTGGGTTGTCTCATGAAGTTTACCATCACTGAAGGTGTTCTGGCAGAGACCATGGTGGGAACCATGCATGAACACGATAGGGATATCGTAGAGGAAATTAATGCTTCCAGTAGAAGATCTTTATGGTCCCTTTTTACTTTTTGAGATTCTTATTCTTACTTAATTACTGTTTCTGTTGAACTCTAGAGCAGAATTATTCCTTTGCTACATCTTTCCTTCCTTTTGACAAGGCTTACAGAATCAAATAATTTAGAGCTCAACTCATCTTTGTCTCATCAATAGTTGCCGTACTTTAAAAAAAAAAAAAAAAAACTGAAACAGACTTTTTAATTGCAAACAACCAGTCAGTCTTATTGTTAGTAACTGGGCAAAAGTAAAGGAAAGTCATAAAATACAGAGATAAGCACAGTAAAAAAGTACGTAAGGCTATTCCACTCATAAGTCAGCTGACTCTAATCTAGAACAAAGACATTTTATCCAGCTACGCTAATATTCTTGAGTTAATTTGCCTCTTCAGTTTTTTTGGTGGGTTACTATTTAGATTACCCTTCAACAAAAACTGGAACATATATTTGCCAAGTTGTTACCAGCAAGTGATTTTTGGCACTCACCTACCACTGAAAGTGCCTCCCACACAATCCTATAGCTCTGTGGCTTCCAGTCCTGGTGTTAAGTCTGTGCTTTCCTCTCTTTGCATCCATCAATTCAGGATTCTGCTGTAGTACTGTCAGGATGCTGAGGCAAGAGAGAGAGCTTTTCTGACTACTCGACCAGGGCTCCAGTGTCCACAGCCCCTTTTCAGCACTGGGGACATGGGGCTGGAATAAAGTGTGGAGAACTAGCCTACCTCAAGCTTCAGACCATTGAACCCTTTAGGGAAGAAATATGGGAGTGGGAATCAATGATAAAGTAAGGAAAAGAAGCTGTAAAAAAGTATGTAAATGTCCACTATTGGGTGTTATTGATCTAAGTTTTCTAAGAAAGTCCTCAAGAAATACCTTGCTAGATGTAGGAAGAGGAGAATGGGAAGGGGAATAGAAGAGATTGTATGCTTATTTGAAAGAAAAAATTATCAATTTATTGATTTAAGTAAAAAATAACGTATATGTTTATGCATGTCTTTACAGGGGAGGGGAGAAAAAAATTCTTATCTGACAGTGTTTTGTTCCTTTAAAAAAAAAAAGCTCCCCACTTACCCCTGAATGAATATATAGTTATTCACTTGAGAATTATTCCATCTTCCTCAGAAAACGTTCTTGATTTAAACATAATTCAAAGATCTGTGGTTTGTTGATTCCCTCCCTTGACGCAGATCACAGTTCTTCTGTGATTTAGTGAATAGTTTTTGAGACTTTGCTATGACTGAAAAATTTATCACTGTGATCAGTCTAACTAGAATAGTCTTCAGATAATAGGTATATAATCTAGTACTGGCCCCTTATTTAAAACTAATTTATCATGGTGGCACCTACCATTTTACTGGTTTAACCTTTGAGAACCCAGGGTCACCTCACTCAATGGATGAAATAATTAGACTAGGCCTTTAATAGGTATAATAGAGTAAAATGTATTGTTTCTTTTAATATTGCTTACATAAAAATGTAAAATAACTTTGCTGAGTCTCCAGTAAATTATGTGGCTCGTTATGTAGTGTGATAGTGGACATTAGTGGACATTATAACTACAGTGGCGTTTAGGATCTCTGAGTCATAATGGTTCCAAATTGCCACCGAGAAGTCTGCCTCCCTTCTTTATTTTTTAGAGGCCTTTAAAACTATTGTGGGGCATGTGAGCAAAATGAATTCCCTCTGGCTTTGGGCCTTTAGCCTCTGTGTATTTCCAGCGTCTTCATCCTTTTTTACTCCTCAGGAATAATACTGAATCCTGAAAATTTGTCAATAAGAACCAGACTTTTCCAAAGAAGTATTTGAGAGGATAAGAAGAGTAGGCATTCTTAGCTTCCCGTGACTAAGAAGCTCGGGGTATCATCTGAACTTTACCTTTTTGCCTATTCTGAACTACAGAGACACTCATCTTAGCCTTATATCATAGAGTTACCTCAGTTTGGACACAACATTGATAGGAAGATTGAAGGTTGAGGTTTATGTCCTTTGTCCACTGATTCATATTTCTTGGTGTCTAAAATATTTTTAAGGTAAAATCTTAGCTTGGTACACATAGGCATCTTGTTCTGTGGTCATGGACCAAGAGACATGGATTTCGCTTTTAATTTGAATGTGAATATTTACTAGATTGAAAAACTTCATTATAGGAGCTCCTTAATATTTTATGGCAGTGCTAATACTGTATTTGAGCATAATTAAGCTTTGATAGTTTGGCAGCATAATGATTGGAACCTCCTTTGAAAATGCCTTTATAGGGGCAGCTAGGTGGCACAATGGATAGAGCACCAGCCCTGGAGTCAGGAGGACCTGAGTTCAAATCTGGCCTTAGACACTTAATAGCTGTGTGACCCTGGGCAAGTCACTTAACCCCAATTGCCCCCCTCCCCCCCCCCAAAAAAGAAAGAAAGAAGATGCTTTTATAATCTAATTGAAGCATCCTAATGTAGCAAATCATAAATTAATTAATCTCATTCTAACACCACAGATTTAGCAGCAGGCATTTTCAGAGGGAGTATTGGAGGAAGGTAATCACCTGTTTTCACATTCCTTTGATTGTCCTTTTTAAAGAACAGGCATTTAGTTAACTGAGATGGTTTGTTCTACAGCTTGTAACTGCAATGGAAGATCACAGGAATGTTACTTTGACCCTGAACTATACCGTTCTACGGGCCATGGTGGCCACTGCACCAACTGCCAGGGTAATACTGATGGTGCCAATTGTGAGAGGTGTCGGGAGAATTTCTATCGCCTTGGGAATGAGGAAGCATGCCAGCCATGCCATTGTAGCCCTGTTGGTAAGTAAGAGAGCAAGGCTTTCTGCCCGATCAAGGTTTCCCTTAGCTGCACTCTTACTGTTTAAAGCCAGATTAAAAAATCTGTACATTTTACACACCTCACAGGTAAAGCTTTGGTTACCAGGGTATCCTAGCAAAGAAGGGTAGAATGTGTACTTTTCCTTTTAAGTGATACGGGATTCCTCCTGTCCTTATTCATGTTGAACTTTAATACCCTTTTCTGGTATATTTGAAAAGTATATGGGTTTGCTTGAATAATAGTTTTGTAACTAATTATAAATAGAATCAGAGTCCATTTGAACTTTGACTGAAAGATAGTTGCTTTGTGAGCTTTATTCTGTGAATTATTTTATTTGGGCTAATCACCTTATAATACTCAAGTGCTTCTGTGTGTTGGTGTGTTTCAGAAATTCCCCTACACTTTTTTTTTTAAAACTCCACTTCTCCACGTGTATGACTTTTACTTTAGTCACTCCTTCAGGCGTGTGTGTCCCTATAGGAGTTATGGGCCTCTTATGATCTCCTACAGTTAAATGATCAGTGACAGTGTTCATTATATAAAGTCTGATTTATGACTGTTCTCTAAGATTGGTAAGTGCATACTATTATATATTTGGAAGGAGACGGTGATATCTAACCTCAAATTTAGCTTTAAAAAATATAGATTTGGGATTGGTCCTGATTTTGAAATTGGTATTTGATATATCTGTAGCCATCTGAAAGTTGAACACAATTTTCAGAAATAGCTTCTGTTTAAGTAGTTTTGTGGGAGTTTATCTGATGCTTTATTTCAGTGCTGCCTTTTATGACATGTTCTGTGATAAACAATTGAGCATTATAAAATTGATCACTTTTCCTACCCAGGCTCTCTCAGTACACAGTGTGATAATTATGGACGATGTAGCTGTAAGCCAGGTGTGATAGGTGACAAATGTGATCAGTGCCAGCCTGGATTCCACTCTCTTACTGAGGCAGGATGCAGGTAAGGAATTTGAAATAAATATTACGTATTAGGCAGGAAGGATGTGTATTTCTTTATCAATGTCTTTTGTTTTTACGTCACTTCTGTTTCCAAATATGTTGCCCTCATTCCCTAGCCAGAGAGCTGTCCCTTGCAACAAAGAAGAGAAAAGGATAGGAGAAAAGGATAGGAAAAAAGCAATTAAGCAAAACCAGCCAACGCATCAACTGAAACCAACATTGTGTGCAGTGTTCTACACCCCTACTCACCCACCCTCCTTGTCAAAGAAGGAAGGAAGGCTCATTTTTTCATCTTGTCTTTGGGGGCCCAGCTTGATCATGACTATAGTTGCTCATAATTCACTTTCAAGTTTTTAGGCAGTCTTAGCATTTTCCTTGTAGTTATCATGTATATTGTTTTCCTGGTTCTGTTTAGTGTACTTTGTATCAGTTCATATACCTCTCATCCTCATGCTTCTCTGTAGTCTTCGTATTTATTGTTTCTTATGGCACAGTAATCTTCCATTGGGGGGAAATACATTTCTAACATAGTTTTTTTGGTTTTTAACTTTTATAAAGTGCTTACTTTATGGTAGGCCCTTTATAATTATTATCTCATTTAGTCCTCACAACAAACCTCAGATGTAGATGCTATAACTATCCCCATTTTATAGATGGAGAAACTGAGGCAAACAGATTAAATTACTTTCCCAGGTTCACACAGCTACTAAGTGTCCAAGGCCAGATTTGAACTCAGATCTTTCTGATTCCAGACCCATTGTCCTATACGTTGCACCAGTTCATAGCTACCAGTTCATAGTTTTTTCACTTTATACCTCATATACTCCAATATACGAAAGCCCTGTCCTCTCAGTTGTTGGCCAAGTTCTGACCTCCTGGTAATAATTAGCTCCAAGTCAGGAGATGATTAGGTTGAAAACAGTGTAGTGTGATTATATCAGTCTTTTAAATGGAATATCTCTTAAGTACAATTCAAAATGCGTTTCAAAACCAAATATACACATATACGTGGGGAGGTTGGAGGGGTGTGTATACACACACAGAGCCCTGTCTTCTATCTCTCTCTGTCTCTATATACATGTTTGGTTTTGAAATGCATTCTGAATAGATAGAGGTATCTATTCTATTTATTTATCTATCTATCGATATATCGATGTTTTCTGGATTCATTATATTATCTGTACCCTTGTTCATTAACTTGTATAATTAAAAGCTCACTGTTTCAGAGTGAGATTTCTTTCTCCAATTATACCTGAGATCTATATGTTTCTTAAGGAATTTCTATCTTTTCTATTCAATAGGCCATGTTCTTGCAGTCCTGCTGGAAGTACGGATGAATGTAATGTTGAAACTGGGCGTTGTATTTGTAAAGACAACGTGGAAGGATTCAACTGTGAGAGGTAGCTAATCCTTGTTGCAGCTGCACTATATTTTTCCTAGTGACATCCCAAGCTGTAAATAACTAATTCTTTTTCCACTTATTTATAGGTGCAAACCTGGGTTTTTTCACTTGGAGTCATCCAATCCTCGAGGCTGTACCCCTTGCTTCTGTTTTGGGCATTCTTCTGTCTGCACGAATGCGGAAGGATACAGTGTTCACTCAATCACCTCTACTTTCCAGATAGGTAATTTGGGTCTTTCCATATCAGAACAGCTAAAACTGTACTTTGACTATTAAAAGGAGTACTCATAATGGCTTTCTGAGATTTGATGTGTTTTGGTGGTAGAAACACCCTACAAGGAGTGTGTAGTTTTTTCCTTGATTAGCTTTTTTATGTAATGGGTAAAATTTATGATTGAAAAGTTCTTAGGCTTTAATAGCAGGTATAAATTATATACTAAATAGATAAAAGTGTAACACGAGAAATGTAGCATGGTCAGTTACAGTTTTAACATAGTATTTATAACTAAAGAAGCACCTTTATTTTCGTTCTCTGCTTCCAGATAAGGAAGGATGGCGTGCTGAACAGCGGGATGGCTCTGAGGCTTCACTCCAGTGGTCTTCTGAGAGCCAGGAGCTATCTGTGATCTCAGATAGCTACTTTCCCATATACTTCATTGCACCTGGTAAGTGAAACTAGAAAGGCATTTATTTGGTACTTTTATATATACATATTTCTGCTTTGCTGTATGTCTTTGGTATATTATTTCTGTATTTCAGACAAGTTTTTAGGTAACCATCTGTTGAGTTATGGTCAGAATCTCACTTTCTCCTTTCGCGTGGAAAGGCGGGATACACGACTGTCTGCAGAAGATCTGGTCCTTGAAGGAGCCGGTCTTAGAGTATCTGTTCCCTTGATTGCTCAGGGCAACTCCTATCCAAGTGAGACCACTGTGAAATATGTTTTCAGGTACGGTGGCAGCCTTCTTTGCTAGATCAAGGCATCAAATCCATTTCTGCTGTTGGGGTAAGGGAGAAGGGAGTGAGGAGAAAAGGAGCTGATTACTATGACTTGTAGATCTTATCTTGAGTGGTATGTGTGTTTACCTTATATACCTGATATGAAAGGATGACTTCCTACTGTTTGCCTTTTCCAGTGATTATGTCAGACTAACTAAAAGCTCTGTGACAAAGTTTTTTTTTTTTTTTTTTTTTGGCATTTGTGCATTTAATATATTCCATTGGTGGTAGAATGAACAAAGAATGATTGTGAGGTTACAGAAACTATGACTACGAAGCTAATGTGAACTTTTCCCCATAGACTTCATGAAGCAACAGATTATCCCTGGAGACCTACTCTTACTCCTTTTGAATTTCAAAAACTACTAAATAATTTAACTTCTATCAAGATTCGTGGGACATACAGTGAGAGAAGTAAGTTGAAGAATAATTTGGAAGGCTCTGAGGGGTGGTGATCAGGTTATAGAATCCAGAGTAACTTACACATTAAAGTAATATGTAAATCTTATTGCTCTAGAGTGATTATAATGTTGTGTGATAATACTACAAAAATAGATACTTTAGTACTTTTTATATTTTATTCTCAAGTAGGTTATGCCTTCCCTTTGCTTAGCAAATTCTTTTTTCTCCACTGATGACATAAAGGTAAACGTTAGTTTGGTGCTTAACAGAATTACCACAGTTTATACATTCTATGAGCTTTTAATACTGAAGTTCAGAATTCAATAAAAGTATATATTGCATAAAGTGTAAAAATGCCTCAATCTTTATCAGAGGAAGGAATTTCTGTACAAATTGTCACAGATCTCCCAACATATAAGGATTAAGTGAAAATGGGCTTTTTTACACTTGAGGCAGGGTCTCAAACTTAAATTAGTTGCTTTGGCCAAAATAATTCATCACCTTGTATCCCACTTTCTGACGAACAGCTCACCTAGCTAAAGCTTAGCAAAACTATTTCTCATCTTGCTTTTAAGGTTACACTCAAAGAAAACCTTTGCTTCAAAGACATAAAAAAAATCTCTCTTTTTAATTACAGTATTTGATTTTTTCTTTTTGGTTTGGATTTTTTTTTTTTAATGAGAATCTTTTCATCTGGAGATGTAATAAATCCTTAGAGGGAATGTGATTGCAGTGTTTAAAAACAAAAAAGGCTAGAACAACATACGTTAGCTCACAAATGCTTTACATTAGTTAATTAAATTGGTATTTATTGTGTACCTACTACATGCTGGGCATTGTGATATTTGGAAGTTGCAGATATGGGGTGCAAGTCCTATCCTCAAGGAATTTTTATTTACTTGGCAAGACAAGACACAAACATATAACAAGTTAGATGACAGTAAAATATTTAAATAATAGTTTGAGACCTTGCCTTTGCCTGGATTTCACTTCCTTCTTCCCACATAAGAAGCCCTCTATTCCTTTAAGAGACAGCTCAATTACCATCTTCTGTATGAAACTCTTTCTGATTTCTCTCCCATGTGTGCCTTCCCTCCCAAACTACCTGGTATTTAACTACTTTGTGCATGTTTACATTTATTCACTTTATATTTATGCAGGTACTTGTCCCCTCCATTAGAATGTTAGCTCCTCGCAAGTAGGAATTGTTTCATTCTTTTTACTTGTATCTGTTGTGCCTGGCACATAGTAGATGCTTTAACAAGTACTTGTTGATTGATTTGTCCTAAGGCACTGCGTGATCAACTGCCAGACTAATTATTCCTAGCTCATCCATGTTGACATTTTGCTGAATTCAACACTGTTGTGTTATTCTGACATGATCTGCTCTTATTGCATCTATACTGGCTTATAGTGATTGCTACTTTCCCCCCTAGATGCTCACAAACCATCCTTTTAATCATATATTCCCAGAATTTTGCTAGAAATAAAAGTCAAGCTCACAGACTTAGAATTTGAAGAATCTATTTTTCTGTCTTCTGAAAATCAAGATATTCACTCACCTTCCATCCTGTGAGACCTAGTCTTTGTGGTTTGGGAAGGCTTACTGACAATGGCAGTTACTAGCGCCCTGGGGTGTTTGGGTTTGTGCAGGTACAACACTCAGATTTCATACAGTACGTTATACCTCATTTGTTATGTACTGTTCTTTACTATCACTGTAGTCTTACAGAGGAGGTTGTCTCAGAAGCCAAGGGAAGAGAGAGAGTTATCAGGAGTGATGAGCAGGGTCTGATATTCATGGCAGAGCTACCAGGAAGGTTGGAGACCGAGAAAGAACAGTCCTAATGGAGCATCATGATTAGTGCCGTTTTCTCCAAATTAACAACAATGTCCCACGTGTCTCTGTCATGTGCCCCTCAAAATACTGATTCTTTTCAACTTTGTTTACATAGTATACTTTGTTTCACAGATGGAATGGGAAATAATGTTTAAGGTTTAGATAGCAAAGTCGTTGGTAGACTAAAACTAGAAGAAAAATAATTTCTGATTCTAGTCTTCTAACAATTGTTCTAAACATAAGATGACATAAATAGAGTGGTATTCAATATACAGTCCCTCATTTCTTCTAGGAAATCATTTGAAAATTGTATCTCATAAGTTTGGAAAGCATGAGTATTTTTTGTGTAGTACACTGATGTTATCCATTGAAGTTAAAGTAATAGTGTTCTATGTGCCCTTTTCTTGGGCTATCATGTGAGTGGACTGAGTGATATGTACTAACTAAAATTCCTAAAGAGATAAGCTAGTGATTAATTTTTCATTCCTGACATTTCCTTTGCTTTTTTGCTTTCCTCCATTTTTAGAAAATATAACTGACTAAATTATCTGTTATAGTAAAAGTTCTCTACAAGGTCTGTAGTGATTTGAGAATGCAATGTTCCTAATAAATGTTTATTGATTGCTTTATTCTCCTACATCTGTCCATAGGTGCTGGATATTTGGATGATGTCACCTTGGCCAGTGCTCAGCGCGGACCTGGGGTCCCTGCAGTTTGGGTAGAGTCCTGTACCTGCCCTGTGGGCTATGGAGGGCAGTTTTGTCAACTGTGTGTCTCAGGATACAAAAGGGAAACACCTAGTCTTGGACCTTACAGTCCTTGTGTGCTTTGTACCTGCAATGGACATAGTGAGACCTGTGATCCTGAGACAGGTAAGAATGTGGTCTGGTACAGCAGCAAGATGTGAATTCTCTGTTTTTTAAGGGAGAAGAAAAGGTGAGAAGTTTTATTTATTCCATGTGTCTTGTTCATTCCTTTCATTTCCTGCCTTCAATAGGTGTTTGTCACTGCAGAGATAACACAGCTGGTCCGCATTGTGAAAAGTGTGCCGATGGCTACTATGGAGATTCAACAACTGGTACTTCCTCCGACTGTCAGCCTTGTCTATGCCCAGGAGGCTCAAGTTGTGCTGTTGTGCCCAAGACGAAGGAGGTGGTATGCACCAATTGTCCTACTGGCACCACTGGTAATTCTACATTTCCAACTGCCTTCACTGAGGTGGTTTTTTCACAGTGATGTTGATGAATTTATCCGGATGTTTTTTGTTGTTGTTATTGTTGTTTTATTTTAGTTGTCCTGTTTTAAATATTTTAAATACTTTAGTCGTGTAAGAGTATTGTACAATTTTTAGATCTATTAGGTAAATACCAAATCAGATGAGGAGGGCAAGGCTTGATCACTGTTTCCATGGTTATACCTAGGGCTCCATGTTTGTTGGTAGCTTTGAAAAGACTTGGCACTGTCTCCAGAATTGTATACGTTTACAGTACTTCAGGACTCAATTGCATTAGCTTTCTGTTAGGTATATCAACGTGGGAAAGGCCACTTTCAGTTGCTACTGAAAGAGATAATCTCATATTTCTATAATCTTTAGAATTGTGTATGTGTGAGGCAATTGGAATTAAGTGACTTGCCCAGGGTCAACACAGCTCATGTTGAGTGTCTGAAGCTGGTTTTGAACTCAGGGCCTCCTGACTCCAGGGCTGGTGCTCTATCTACTGTGCCACCTACCTGCCCCTAATCTTTAGACTTTAACACAAAATAAGGCCTTTCTTACGTAAGGCTTCTAATTGCTAGAATGAGTAATGGGACTTCTGTGATTGCCTGCTTCATTTCTTCAGGTGATTTTAGTCTCTGCATTAGTGGAGAAGTTCTCTAGCAGTGTTCTTAGACTCTAGAGCAGGGGTGGGGAACCTGTGGCCTTCTAGGTTCACTGGGTGCAGCCTTTCGACTGAGTCCAAGTTTTACAGAACAAATCCTTTTGTTAAATGGATTATTTCTGTGAAGTTTGGATTCAGTGAAGGGCTGCACTGGAGGGCCTGGAGGGCCTAGAGGTCCACAGGTTCCCCACCCTTGCTCTAGATTTTTGGCTCCCTCTAAGCTCTTTTTGTGTTTTACATAATCTTGTTTACTATATATAGATGGGAATTCATGGAAAAGAACGGGAATACAAATGCAGAATTATCTGATTACTTGTCAGTTGAGTCTTAGCTATCACAGAAATCATTTGATGATCTTAAAGTACATTTATAGAAAATATTAAAAAATGGAACTTTATATAAAATTCTAAATTCCTGATTTCCATCTTGTTCTAAACCTTACGTAATGGTTCTGCCCAAAGAAGGCTCATGTACCATCTAGCTAAGAAAATAATATATTAGGAATATCATGTATGCATGTTGATTCTTTAGTATAGCCTACGATATTATGTTGTCATTTTACTCATTCTATAGCTTAACTTTATTCTAACATTTGATGTGATTAAATACTTGAGCATTTTTCATCAGTGATAAAGCGATTATATTTTGGGAGTAATAGGAACTAATAAGCTGAACCACTTTGAGAGAAGCTATCAAATGCCAGCCTGTAAATTAGAATGAAATTGCTTTGTCAGGTATCGGCAGGAACGACTCCCTCCTCACCCTCATGCCTTTAGCCTGAAAAAAAGACATTAGGGATCCTTGCATGCTCAAGAGGGAAGAAGGGCCATTATGAACAGTGGTAACACAGAGCCTCTAAAGGTAGCCCCAGGAAAATGTGGGGATAAAGCTGTGACTACATGGCAGAATGGGTAAGAGATTCAGTTCTTCATGAGAAGACTTTCAGAGAACATTAACATTCTTAATCAAAAGGAAAAAAGTTGGACTCAATTGTATTTATATTTCACACTCTAAATTAGGGTGTTTTGGTAGAGGTAATGCATAGAAAATACATATAGGCTTAAAAATAGAATTAAGCCCTCTCTGGCTTACAGTATCTCACTTTTTTAAATTCTCTCTGATTTGATTTTCATTGTTTTGTTTAGAAGCCATGATCTGGTGTTTTAGATGAAAATATGTGATTTACCGGGAGAGTAAGAGCCTGAGAATGGGTTATTCTAAGGAGAATGTAGAGTAAAGATAGTTTAACTTTTCCCCCCAAAGTAAGGGTGTCCCCTATTTTTACCTGCTCTGTTTTGGAGTCTTCAGTTTTATCTCTGCCCTGAAGAGATAAAGACAGAGGACCAACCATAAACCCAGCCTGAGCTTGATGAGGGTGATGAAAGTGAACAGGAGGATGGTAGTGGAGAGACCATTGGCCTGGAAGCCAGGACCCTTGCAGGCTGTTGATGTCTTTCTCACTCTGTGTTTCACGTTGGGTAAATTATATCACCTCCCTCTACATAGGCATCCTCTTCTGGAAAATGAGTCTAGATCAGAGGTTGACAAACTTTTTCTGTAAAGGTCCAAATAGTAGGTATTTTAAGCTTTCAGGGATAATAGGCAAATTAGAAGATAATTAGTACAGCTATTATTCATAGCTGATATAAATCCTATTTAAAATTTTAGTTACTTCAAATTTGGGGGCTGACTTCTTATTAAATCTAATTAAACCTTGTAATGTGGCTTGGCAGAGCTTGTATTATCATTTCTGCTATTTTCTTGTTAACTTGCGTGGACATCTTTAATATTGTTTGCAATCCATGGTTCCTTCATAAGAATCTTTTTAAACCACTTGCCCATTTTGTGAGGGTTAGTTTAGCAAAAACTAGATAATATGATTTATAAATATACATACCTAAGCTGTAATATACTGCAGTATGCTCGAAGTAATGTTATGTAACTGACAAGTGAAATGAAGGTGCTGGCTCTATTCTACATATGAATATTTGATAGAAATATTTAATAAAACTTAGTTGCTTTCCTTTTTTACTTAAAAATGTGAATGGATTTCTACTATTTTACCACATCATAGTAGAATATCTTGTGTACTCCACTTTGCAAATCACTCATATAGATGATCATCAGGGTCATTTAAAAAATGCCATTGTTCTGTAATAATAGCTCAGGGTGATACACTTTCTTCTCTGAAGAAGTGTTTCCTACTGAAGAAGTCAAACTGCTCGCTGGCTATTTGGTGTTAATCCTTTCATTATTGGTAGCATAATGGACAGAATTCAGTAAGCCTAGTATGTACTAAGCTCCTTTTATCTATTTGGGAAGTGAAGCTTGAGAACTATAAAATGACAGCTTGTTTTTGCCTTTATTTTAAACCTATAGCATCAGTTTCTCTGTTTTGCAGGTAAAAGGTGTGAACTTTGTGATGATGGCTATTTTGGAGACCCTCTTGGTGAAAATGGCCCCACGAGACTTTGCCGACCTTGTCAGTGCAGTGACAACATTGATCCCAATGCAGTTGGAAATTGCAACCGCTTAACTGGAGAATGCCTGAAGTGCATCTATAACACTGCTGGCTTTTATTGTGACCGCTGCAAAGATGGGTTTTTTGGGAATCCCCTGGCCCCCAATCCAGTAGACAAGTGCAAAGGTAATAATTTTCAACTTAGAACCTGATGACCTCATAAAGAAAGAATATAACATCATTATACATTCTGTATTGAGAGATTCATTTTCTGGTGCTCGGTAATGCAATGCTGGGCCCAGAATCAAGAGGTTCTGAATTCAAATGCAACCTCAGATAATTACTAGCTATGTGATCTTGGGCAAGTCACTTAACCACTGTCTGCCTTGGTTTCCTGAACTGTAGAAAGTGGATGATAACAGTACCTACCTCCCAGTGTTATTGTGAGATCAAGTGAAGCAATAATTGTAAAATAGCATAATACTTGGCACATAGGAGGAGTTATATAAATGCTTATTCTCTCCCCCGCAGTCACCTTGAGTATTGTGATTGCCTTGTCTACAGACTGTTGGTCATCTCAAAGACGAATTTGTCAAAGGAAGGAGGAAGGGAAGAAAGGAAATTTATACAAATGCAAAATATGATATTTAATGCAATAGGTAATTTATAGTTTATGTAATACAATTTATACAAAATACAAATTTAAAGACAATACAGTCCTCCTTAAGGACCCTTAAGAAGCTTACATTCTCAAGAAGAGGAGGCAACATACGAAGGCTAGTGAGTGGTGGCCAAGGGAGGGAAGTAAGGAGTGTTTTCATTTGGGATGCCAGAGGGATAATGAATGGAGACTTGGGGACTTGATTGACACACATTCTGGTAGCAGTGGCAATATTGATTTGATTACAGTTCCCACTGGAAATCATGATGGGTTTAGGGTTTGGGAGTGGCAAATATATGCCCAGCAGTAAGTCATGTGGCGGAAAAAGATCAGGGGGAAGAATGGTCATTTACAGATGACCAGAGTATGGAGTTTAACATTCAGATAAAAGAGATTATATGCAGCCCCTGTCATCAGCATTTTCCCTAGTTAATCTGCCATTTTTTTCCTATCTCTTAGCTTGTAGTTGTAATCCTTATGGCACTGTGAATCAGCAGACTACTTGTAATCAAGTAACTGGGCAGTGTGAGTGCCTCCCTCATGTCACCGAGAGGGATTGCAGTGCCTGTGATCCTGGATTCTATAATCTACAGAGTGGACGAGGATGTGAGAGGTAATACTGAGCTGCTTGTTAGCCCAGCCAAGGGGTGCAGTGGCTAATGATCTGGGCTTGGATATAGGAGGACCTGAGTTCAGATCCTGCCCTAGAGCACTTACTGGTTATAGGACTGTGGGCAAATGGCTTAGTCTCTCAGTCTCTGTTCCTCATCTGTAAAATGAGGATAAAGAAAAGCACTTACCTCACAGGGATGTTGTGAGGATCAGATGAGATAACAGATATAAAGCACTTTACAAACGCTGTTTTTATCATCCCTTAGTTATAGCATTGTTAGGGGTGATGGTTTATAAGTGAATGAACAGAAATTATATTTAATTGGAACCATAAATGGCTCTTTAGCTTCCACTGTGTACAAGGCCTGGTATTAGTAGTATTATCTTCCTTTTTTAGAGATCTATACTTAACATTAAGAAAGGAAAACAAAAGAATCTACATGTGGTTTTGACAGGGTAAAGGTCAAAGTTTGTGTTAGGGTAAAAAAGAAATTCTGGATAACTGATTAAAACTTGAGTCACGCTTTTTACATACATGAACTTAACTCCTGGTCAGCAGTATTTGTCCTCTCCTAACAGAAAAGGACAGTTCTTGTGTATGGTTAGAAAATTGTTTGTTCAAAATCTGTTTCTTTTATTTAAAACAAAGTTATTTTATATTTCATTTTCAGATGTAACTGTCATGCTCTCGGTTCTACCAACGGCCAGTGTGACATACGCACTGGCCAGTGTGAATGTCAGCCAGGCATAACAGGTCAACGCTGTGAGCAGTGTGAGCCCAACCACTTTGGTTTTGGACCTGAAGGTTGCAAACGTAAGGGATTGTTGGCACAGCACTTCAAACATCTTGTCACATTCTTTGCTTCCAATCTTAGGGCTAGAAAAGGGGTCTCTGCCTCTATGGCTTATATTGCCTTAAATATACAAGAAGTGACCTAAGTCATCCTTAGGTGGATGATTATATATCCTATTCTTAGAAGTCTAGAAGATTCACTTGGTAATGATTTTATCTGTTTCTTCTATTTCCCTACTATATTATTTGTAAATGGTAGTTTTTACCTTTTATCCAGTAAATTAAAGCTTTCATTGATCACTTCTCTTTAGATAGGTTATTCACAGGACCTTTTTTGTTGATTTGTTTATAGCAGTTGTTTCTCCTCCCTGGTGCCTTTGGGGAGCAGATCTAATGACAAAAATCTTTCTTTCCTTGACATGAACAGCTCCTTGGAATCAAGTCACAGGTTACTTAGGCTTTCTGTTTTCTGAATTCTTGTGTTTCTTCTCTGGAGTGTTACATGTTATTGACCTCAGCCAAGGAATAATATTAGTAAACATACCATAAAAATCGTACCATAACTCCATCTTCATTTGAGTTTCCTGGCTTCTTAGTGAGGAAGCATTGAAAACAGAGAAATTGTGAGGATAGAGGTGACTCTTCTCAATGTAAAAGTCACCAAGGCATTTAATGGAATGATTTTCATCATCCCAAGACAGCCGTGTCCTGATAAGCAACGTACAGTTCAGAAAGGGAACCTCTTCTTCCTTCCCTCGGCCTGTTTTGATTGAGACTTTCTCCTTTTACTCTGCAGCATGTGACTGTCACCCTGAGGGGTCGCTTTCACTCCAGTGCAAAGATGATGGTCGTTGTGAATGCACGGAGGGTTTTGTGGGAAATCGCTGTGACCAGTGTGAAGAAAACTATTTCTATAATCGGTCTTGGCCTGGTTGCCAGGAGTGTCCTGCATGCTACAGACTAGTGAAAGATAAAGTAAGTCTTTAGCAATGCCTTCTTAGGACTTTTACCATTTAAGGTAGAAAAATATCTAAACTCTTGGCATACTGCTGCCTGCTAAAGGCAGATAGATAAGCCAGTAGGTGTATAGTTTAGATGTAGTTTTGGTCCATGTTTTTATTCATTATACACCTGCTAAGGAGGAAGTGAGCACTATCTAGAACCTCTGAGAGGTTGCCTGAGAAGACATTTCACCTGTGCCCTCATTTCTTCTTTCCCTTTGTTGAGGTTGCTGAGCATCGAGTGAAGCTCCAGGAATTAGAGAACCTTATAGCAAACCTCGGAACTGGAGATGAAACAGTCACGGATCAGGCCTTTGAGGACAGACTGAAGGCAGCAGAGAGAGATGTTATGGACCTTCTGCAGGAGGCTCAGGACATCAAAGGTAGGTGTTATTGGTGGCTTCCATTGGACTGGACAATGTAGTTATTACCCAAGGCTAATATATTGTATTATGAATTTCATAAGCTCAGTGGTCCGGGTTTTTTAAAGATTTTTGAAAATATTTTATTTTTTCCCCAGTTATATGTACAAACAGTTTCTAACATTTGGTTTTTTTTTTTTGAGTTCCAAATTTTTTTTTGAGTTCCAAATTTTGAGTTCCAAATTCTCTCCCTTTCCTCTCTCCCCTCATTGAGAAGGCAAGAAATTTGATATAAGTTATACATGTGCAGTCATGGAAAACATATTTCCATATTAGTCATGTGGTGAAAGAAAACTCAGACTGTAAAAACAAAAGTATGTTTTGCTCTGCATTCAGATTCTATTAGTTTTTTCTTTGGAGCTACATAGCATTTTTCCTCATAGATCCTTTGGAATTGTCTTGGATCGTTGTGTTGCTAAGAATAGTGAAAGCATTCACAGTTGATTTTCATACAGTATTGTTACTGGGTACGATATTCTCCTGGTTGTGCCCACTTCACTTTGTGTCAGTTCATGTAAGCCTTTCCAGGTTTTTCTGAGAGCACTCTGCTTGTCGTTTCTTGTAGCACAATAATACTCCATCACAATCATATACCACAGCTTGTTCAGCCATTCCCCAATTGATGAATATACCCCTTAATCTCTAATTCTTTGCCACCACAAAAAGAGCTGCTATAAATATTTTTGTACCTAGAAGTCCTTTTCCTTTTTTTTTTTATCTCTATACTTACTCTGAGGAAACAAAGATAGAATTAATGAATCAGTCCTTATTTTTCAGTGGCTTATGTTCTATAAGTTGTAGACACCAGTCTATTTTGACATCGTGTAGAGTCTTTAGACAGGTAAATATGAAGAGTTAAAGGCATTGAAATTAAAATCAAATTAAAAGGTGAAAATGTAAGGCAGTATGGTAAAGTAGTTTCCATGACTTTTTAAAAGAATCAGCTATTTTTATTTAGTACATATTTTCTCAGGCTGGTAATACAACAGCCACTTATAAGTCCAGTCCCACTGCTAATCAGCACAGAATCTTTGACCTCTGAACTGCATTGATTCACTTTTCCTTCAGCAGCCTGCCAGTTCCCTACTCCCAGAGGTTTCTCATATTGGTGCTGGACTTAATGTGGTCACTCCGTTATTGCCTTATCCCTATTGCAGTTCAGGACTCGTAAGCGCAAATGATCCACCAGTCCTAAGCTTCCCAGTTGCAAGGATTTACAAGGGTATGCTACTATGTTTAATAGAAGCAACTATTTTAAAATCGACTGTTTTTGGTTTTTTTAAGCCTTGAGTTAAACTTTTCTTGTCCTTGGAAAGGCCTCATCTGTCATTTTCAATTAAAGCATAGCTATTTGTAAATAGGCCATTATAATTCTGCATGTGAACTATTATCTGTTATATACCTATATACTCACGAGTATAGCATAGATAATTGGCATCGCTTTGGAATAAATCAGCAAATTTCCTGTCAGGATAGTGGTAACTAAGTAATATCTTTTTCTAACATAAATATTCATCATTCTATGTGCACTTGATAGACAGATTTGAATTTGTGAAATTTATATAAATTAGTATTTTAAATTAGTTTTATTAATCATCAAGCATTTATTAAGCATTTACTTTGTGTTTCTAGTCTCTAACATAAAGAATTTTATACTGGGGGCAGCTAGGTGGTGTAGTGAATAGAGCACCGGCCCTGGAGTCAAGAGGACCTGAATTCAAATGCAACCTCAGACACTTGACACTTACTAGCTCTGTGACCAAGTCACTTAACCCCAATTGCCTCACTCACCCCCCCCCCCCAAAAAAAGGAATTTTACACTGAAGTTCCATCAGGTATTTAGAGTGTGATTATCTATTAGTCAAGTTGTGGTGATTACAGCAGCTGTATTAGATACTATAGATGTTCAGACCAGAGTGAAGAAGGGATGTGATAAGGATTTTTAGGATTGTGACCATGGGGGGAATTCCTAGAAATGGAAGTTCTTACTTTTTCAGAGAGGTGGAGGATACACAAGGAGGTAATACAGTTAGGAAACTGAAGAAAAGTTACTGGTTAAGTAGTACAAGTCTCAACATACATAACTGCCGGCATCCTACGGTGCCCAGTGTGATGTGGATTTGGTTACCACCTTAATAACATTTTTCTCACCAAAATGTTCAAATCACTGAATTTTGCAGTTAGCAGAGACCTTAGAAACAATTTAGGCCAATTTGCACCTGACCAAGAATCCCTTCTATATCTCCAAAAAGTGAGATGAGAAAGGCACCCAGTTCTTTTCTAACACCTCCCAAGCCAGCCCATTTGACTTTTGGTTAATTCTAATTATTAGGAAGTTTATTCTGGAATTTTTTTTATAGGAACATATTTCTTTTTTGTGGTTGTTAATATTTTTTAACAGCTCTCAGTGGAAATGTTGGATTGGTTTTATAGAAATTAGTTTAAAAAGTTTTTAAAAGTCAGATAAGCCCACCCGGCCGAGAATGGGAAAAGGTAACTTATAAATTAGGTCTTCGTAGATTAGTCGAGAGATGTAGGATCTGGTGTTCCCATTTCACTTGTTCAGATCTTTAAAGGGAAGCAGAAGAAGAGGGAGAATTTTTGTGTAGCATTCAGAACTGCATCTCATCTGTAGAGGGTAATGACAGATGGGGGTTTTATGTCTGAGGTCTGATCAGCATCAACTGGCTGTATGACTTTAGGCAAATGATTGAACTTTGCTCAGCCTCAGTTTCCTCATCTAAAATAACAAAGGTAGTAATACCTACTGTACCTATTTCACAGGGTTATAGTGAGAGGGTGGGTGTAAAAATACTCGGTAAAATGTAAAGAAACACTCTGTTTAAGATGTCATCATCATTATCATTATTATTAAGGAAGAATTTCCATCATTGAAGGAGTGTTCGGGTTTTTTTCTTAGAGGGATTGTCTTTTTCCCTAAAAGCAAAGCATTTGGAATCTCCTTGTAGGTTAGTAGGTGAGGATGTGCAGTAAGAAAGCTGGGGATTAGCAAGGATATCTAGGTAGAAGATAGTTTACTTTGATGTCCTATAAATATATTACTTATAAACCTGTTGGGCCCAGTAAAGGCTCAGCTGTTCTTCTGTGCTTTAGTTGAACCTAATGACTGAATTTGTTAGGGATTTAGCAGTAGATAGAACATTTCTGGCAAGAGAATTTTATTATTGGTTTTGGCCAGTTTGTTTGCTTTTTGTTCAAGTGCCCAGAAACTGTTTTATAAGATTCATTTTTAGAAACTTAAAAAAATTTTTAATAGGTCAGTGGCCTAGTTTAACTGTAGTTTTTCATTTTGTTGTATGGCTTGTTTTTAGTTTTAAGACTTTGAGAGAGAAGAATTTTAACAAATACTGTCAGTTCCACTTAAAGATCTGTGTTTCTTGGATTTAAGAAAATATTTTACTTTTTTAAAAGCATGTTGCCCTGTTGATGTGCCCATTTGTGTTTTGACTCTAGACCTTGCCAGCATAATTGCTTAGCCTGATTCAAACATCACTTTTTATAGGGTCTTGGAAGGGAAGTATGTCATCATTCCTTTCATAATCTATTCTTCTCCAGGCCTACTTACAGCATGGAGACCTCAGTTCTATCTATTTTACTTTTGTCCAAGTAAATTATTTTGTTGGTTGAAAAGAAGCTGGGAAGTTTTAAGAGGCATTGTACTTGAAAGCAGCAATATTCCGTCCCTCTCACATCAAGCTCCCTAGATAGTGGACATCCTAAGTTGGTTCTGGCAGTTGTATGAGAGAGTGGCTAATAATAAAGCTTCCCAGTACTCAGAGGGGTAGAACCGTGCCTGATTGTCTTGTAGTTGGCTCAAATGAAAACCACAGAATTTTTAAAAAGAATTATTTTATCTTTAATATTGAAAGTAATCATGTATATTTTATACTTTTCATCTATCCAAAAATATGAGAAGAGACTGCATTCAGTGATTAAGCCTTACAAGTAAAATCTTAAGACTGGATCCTATATATCCTCTACCCTGCTTCCACACCTGCTTTCCATGAAGAAGTGCCCTAACATGATAGGGTAACTCATTTTTTTTAAAGATTTCAGGAGAAAGACTTCTTGGTAATCCATACTAATGTCTGGTGGCATAACCAAGAAATTATTTCTTGGGCCTAAACAGAGTAACTCAATCGAAGTCTTAATCTCTTTTTCCCAATTTCAAAGTGTGGTAAGAAACTTGTGCACTTAAACTGCTGTGCCACTTTTAGCATTTTCTTCCTCGAGACCAAATTTTAGTGGCTTTATTTTTAAATCCTCAGAGGTCTTTATTTCCCGAACTTCTTCATCTTTGCTCTTGCCTGTGACTCAGCATATATATATACATATCTAAAATGTAGAAAGCCAGGAATAAACATAGTGCTATTCTAAGCAAGCAGCCAGCTCTGAGTGTAACTAAACAGTTTACTTCATGGTCCTTATCTGTTGGTATGCCCTAATTTCATGTGAAATTTTTAATATTAGCACTATGTGGTAGACTCTTACTCAGTTTATGAATTTTTATGACACCAGAAATATGTGCCAAGTTAATTCATTTCAACTCACTGAATTAATTAAATGGCTATTATGTACAAGGTGTTAGAGATTCTAAGACAAAAATGAAGCAGTCCTTACCTTCAGAGAACTTACTGAGGGGCTGTAACTTACAAATTCTCATTTGAAGGGATGGATAGAAGAGGAGTGGGGCCAGGGGAGGATTAAGAGAGAGAAAGAGGAAAGATGGAGGTGGGGTAGAGAATTCTGAAAGACTCCAGGAGTACATTTCAGGCATGAAATTCCTCTGCTAAAGAACAAAGATAATACAAGAGGGTATATTGGGTTCAGGGGAAAAATACTAGGAGGTTACTTTATCTGGAACATAGATTATGGGAAAGGGAATAATATAAGATATTTAGAAAGGTAGGTGTTAACCATATTGTAGAGAGCTTTAAATGCCAAACTGAATAATTTGTGTATTATCCTACAAGCAATAAGAAGTCCCCAAAGTTTTTGAAAAGGGATGTACCATGGTCAGACTTGTACTTTGGGAAGATTAATTTGGTAGCTATGTGGAGAATGGACTGGAGGGAGGATTGACTGAAAGTAGAGAGACCAGTTAGGCAGCTCTTGTCATATTCCTAGTGAGAGGTGGTGAGGCCTGACCTAGGGTATTTGAGAGCTATGGCAGAGGTAGAATTGACAAGGCTATGTGAGATGAGGGGGAGGGAAGACTCGTGAGGAAGAAGGACTGTACTTTTTCTGTGTAGCCTCAGAAGGCATAACTAGAAAAGGTTGGTTCAAGTTGCAAAGAAGAAAATCTAGGAATGGCGTAAAGAAATGCTTCCTAGTAATTAGAGCTGTCCCTAAGTAGAACGGGCTACCTTAGAAGATAGATGGCCACTGAAGTCTTGTTCATGAAGACTCAGTTTAAAGCAGTGGGTACTAGGTGTCAGGAAGGAAGGTAGTAAGTACCCTTTACAGAAATAAGGGAAATTTAGAGGCGACTAAACTAGAGAAGGCGAGAATGGGTTTATTAATAGTGGGTATTTGAGAAATGAAGTAGGTGGTGGTAGATGACCTCATTTTCTCAATCAAGTAAAAGATGCAAGGGGAATGGTGTAGGAAGAGGAGAAAAGAGAAGAAGAGAACGTTTGCACTGTGATTGGCAATCGTGGAAGAATAAAAAGATTGCCATGTTGTAGTGAGAGCCAAGTTGAGATTAAATATCATAAATTTGTAGTGGATCCAGTAGCAAAAGTTGTGTAACTTATTCCATTGGTATTAAGTAGCATTTAAGTAGGAATAGAGAGGTTGGGTGTTGGGGTCCCTGACAGTTACAATATAACAAGGAGTGAGTGGGGACAAGAGACAAGAGATTAAAGGGCAGAGGATAGGGTTTGGTTGAAGTATTCAGCTGTAGAGTCAAAAATGAATAAACAAAGCTTTTTTTTTTTAAGAACTGCACATGTTTCACAATGTGGAGATCAGAAGAGTGAGAAAAAAATTTCCATTTGATTTTAAAATGTCATGTTATTTGTGAAGGCGAAATTATGTAATCTTGACAAACATGCCCTAGGGATTGATGATACCTTCAGTTAATATGTTTGTGTTTATGACAGCAGCTATAGCTTAGAATGAGCTTGAAGATCAAAACCATTAGAGTAAGACTATTTATGTTCACTTTGAAATGCCAAGTAAGTTGTAGCTCATGGAATAAGCCACCAACCTTACACTTTCATTAGAATGATTTCTGCCACCCTCAAATAAATTATATACTTTCTCTTCCCACCCCCACCCCCCACATCCATTTCTAGATATAGACCAGAACCTGATGGATCGGCTCCAGAGGGTGAATAATACCCTGTCCAGCCAAATCAGTCGCTTACAGAATATCCGGAACACTGTGGAAGAGACAGGAAATTTAGCTGAGCAAGCCCGCACACGAGTTGAGAGCACAGAAAGGCTCATTGAAATTGCTTCCAGAGAACTGGAGAAAGCAAAAGTGGCCATTGCCAATGTGGTAAGTGTTACTGTTGGAGTTTGATGTGCAGGGATGTCCAGCATAGTGACTTGCAGTGTATTTTGTTACTAGGAGGGAGATCATGAACTATTTTTACTCTTCTTTCTATCTATAGGTCTCCATAATAAACGACTTGAGACTTTTAGAGCTTGAATGGACCTTGGAGAGAATGTAGCCTAGCTTAATTCCCTCTTTTTAAAAATGGAGAAACTGATACCCAGGCAGTAGAGAAACTTGCCTCAAAGCACACAGAGAGTCTATTTCAGAATCTGACCCAGGATTTTCACTCCCAGTCCATTATTGCTCTTTTCTTTACTCTACCACACAACCTTCTCTTGATATCATTTTCCTTGATGTCGCTTCATGAAAATAGAACTGTCGTAGCATTGCCCGTAGAGATGTCAAGAAATAAGTCTTGTATTTGTTTTGCTGGTGTCTGTTTCTGTGCCACTGGAAAATCTAGAATTCCTTCATCCTTCTGAGAAAGTAGGAATGATGGTTGGGTTGAAAAAATATCCATTCTACAAGTATGGGGTAGGAGAGACCTGGCTATGTAGCAGTTTATTTGAAGAAGACCCGGGTCTTTTAATGTCAACAAATGACATAAAGTTACTGTCCTCTCTTGGGCTTTCAAGTTGGGAGTAGGATAGAAAGGTATTTATTAAGCACTTATCCTTTGTACACCACATGGATTTGAATTCTGACACAGGGCAGTTGGAAAGGCCTGCTGGTCCTTTGGGTTTTATGGTAGTCCTGATAGCAAGTCCCAGGAGTCCTTGGGGTATTGTGTTGGAAAGGATAATTACTGGTGGAACCTGGATAGGTGGGATTTGGTCTGGGGTCCTTAGGGGGAGAAGGGAATAGAAGGATATTGTTGAGACCAAGAGAGATGTTAATCCCATGGTATTCTGTGCTGGTCAGATCACAATGTGAATGATTAAATTTACTTGTGTGTGCCACATTTTAAGAGGAGCGTTGAGCTAAAATGTGTCTGGAGGAGTATGATTAGGTTGCTGAAGGGACTGGAAACCATTTCATATGATGAACAGCCAAAGTTACTAGAGATATTTAGCAAGGGACAGCATTTTCAATGCCTCTGGACGTCGTGTGTTCCCTTTCCTGACTGTATTCAAGCAGAGGTTGGGTGAATATTTGTTGGATATATGTTGTAAATAGAAGGGACTTATGCTTCACAGGTAGAAGCATTGGGTGGTCTATGAGGTTCCTTCTAGCTTTTACTATTTTGTAGTAATACAAATCTTTGGAAAGGTGAAAATGTTGCTAAATAATACCATTGACATTCACAAACACTTCCCTTATTTAAATTCATACAGTTCAGTTCTCTGTGCAAGTAAATCCTGTTTTTATTTTATTTCATTTTCAGTCAGTTACCCAACCAGATTCTGCTGGGGATCCTAACAACATGACTTTATTGGCAGAAGAGGCTCGTAAACTTGCTGAACGGTAATTTCTAGATTCATGTATTTATTACTAAAGTTTAACCTGTGTTCCTCCCCCACATTTGTGTATTTTTTCCCACATAACCAACTTTTAGACTTCCTTCCTAAATTTTTTTTCTTTTGTCACCATACAATTATTGTTGCTGTTATCCATTCTTTCCTTTGTAAAATCAGTGTAAAATCTCTGTCTTGGAGCTCAAAGTGTTTGGGGGCATTTAGAATATTCTACATTTTTATGTTGACTCAAACATGGCTAAACTTAGGAACTTCGAATTCAGTTGTGTGGTATGTGATGCTGTGTAGATTTCTCTTCCTGTGTAATTTAGTTCTTAATTATTGAAGATACTCATCCAAAGATTCACAGTGGAAAACTTGTGCTCACTCACATGATTCTGAGTTGCTTTCTGAAAACAAACAAACAAACAAACAAAACAAAACAAAAAATAAAAAATGAACGAAGAGGGAATCCATCCATCACACAAAAGCTAACAGCAGTGAACCAAATCCTCCATAATAGTGCCAGAAGATAGAAGAAACCTTTAGGGACCTTCATTGTTGAGATAACATTTTTTCCTTGAGACCCAGTTGATCTTGCATTGAGAGAGCCTTAATGATGCTGAGGTAGCTTTTCTCATAAAGATATAGATAGTGTCTCAGTAATTCAGACTGAGTGGTGTGAAAGCTGGTCTGCCAAGAATGGAATTTTTAAGAAATGTCATTATCTTACTCTGGAATATAAGCAGTATTTTCAACAAGGCTAACAAAGTGATGCATAGTTGGGGGCTTTGGGGACTTGATTTTGTGACTGGATGAGAATGATGTGTAATTAGCATTTGCCATTTGTAATTTGTTCAGTGCTTCTGAATTAATTTCGAATACTTGAATTCAGCTTATCCCAAGTAGTTTAAACATTTACCCCTATATCCCCTTTATTCTGTTTAGACTGTTAATTTTCTAAGGAAATCATTTTGCCCAACAAAACCAGTTAAAGGAATTAAACCTATGCCTAGCTTCTGTCCAGATTATCACAAATTCCAAACTAAGGAGATTTTATTGTATTTCTGGAGTTTTGCTGATTTCAGTGATTTTTTTTAATATAAAGAATTATTCTAGTGTCAGCTCCCACATTTTTAGAGAATAGTGCAAAATTATGTAATGCATACATAATGTAAAAACTCAACTCCTGTAATAATTTTTCTTACTTTGATGTAGTTATTGCCAGCAGTATGTGATTTTTTTTTAACAATAGGATGTTTTGGGATTTTGCTTATTCGCTTATTTCATAAAGATCTAGTTTTAACCATTTATATTATGAATCTGCACTATCTTGATTTGCTGGTGTAACCTTAGAGTTAACTGATAAGTACTTCAGTCATGCTATCATATGATCTGTGAAGTCCCTGATGATTTTGGAAGGATGTGTCTATGCTGTTCATATGTGAAGCTTTTCTTAATATTATCCTACTGTTAGGGGCAGGGTTGTCTTAGCTTGACTGATATTAACATTAGCCTATGAGTAGCATTAAGGCAGAACTATAATCTCAAGTTTTTGTTCTAATACAAGTTTATTTATTTATATTCTCATTGTGATACCTTTGTCCAAGCTACTTCTTGGTAGTTTGGTTGAAATGTCTTATGTAGATGGGATAAGCATATTTTTTTGTGGGGACATTTTTATGGCAGCTTCTGTTTTATGGACTTGTTTTTCTTTTTCTGTCACAGACATAAAAAAGAGGCTGATGACATTGTACGAGTAGCCAGGACAGCCAATGATACATCAACTGAAGCCTATAATCTGCTCTTGAGGACTTTGGCCGGAGAGAATCAAACAGCAAATGAAATTGAAGAACTTAATAGGAAGTGAGTCTAATTTAAAAGTGTTTGATGAGCCCTTTAGATGTGTGTGTATGTTAGTGACAGTGCAACAAGAAATTAAATTCTGGTGTATTTGGAGCATGTTCTGGATGGTCTTTTACTTGTGCTTTTGAAATGTCCTACAGGAGTTAGGTCAGGGAAAGTGGAGCTAAGGCTTTTGAGTCTACTTGATTACTTATTGGAATTGCAGATAAAAGAATAATTAATCAAAGCATTTAAACTGTTAAAGAAATAAGAAATGTAAGAAATGTTAAAGAAATACAAAAAGTTAAAAGAAGCATTAGATAGCCATGGTAGGTATGGAGGCAAGGAGAAAATGCACTGCAGATACTGGTGATTGAAAGAAGAAACTGGTCTGTGGGTTTTAAACAAAAATAATAGGATAAAATTAAATTTAATTATGTATTGATTGTTATTAAATAAAATTTTAACATGTCACTGTCATTTTGCTGTGTTGTATCCTGCCAGTGGAATGGAAGCTCCTTTTTTGTCTTTTGTCTTTGTATCCCAACCACCTTCACAGTACCTTGTACGTAGTAGGCAGTTTGTTGGCAACAGTCAAAACGGTAGAAATGCTGTCACAAAGATTGAAATAATCTTCAGTTCTATTAATATTTACTAATGGTTCAATTAGATAAGGAAAAATATGCTAAAATGTTTCCTCTAATTTACTATTTTTGCTCTTGTTTTTCCTAGTTTTTTAGTCATGCTTTAAATCTACTTTTCAGTATATCCCATAGCTTTCTCAAACTCAACATGTCTAAAATAAAACTTGTTATCTTTCTTTATTATTAAGGATGTAGATGTGGCATTGTGTAGAGCTTTGGACTTGAAATCAGGAAGACCTGAGTTCATATCTTGCCCTAGACACTTAGTAGTTTTGTGACCATGGTCACTTAACCTCTCTCAGGTTGTTTTCTCATATAAAATGGGGATAATAGTAGTACCTACCTCACAGGTTCCTGTGAGGAAGCACTAAATAAATGCTAGCTACTGCTGTCTTTCTCACCCTTCCTCCTTACTTTCCTACTTCTATTAGGGGCACCACCACCCTCTCAGTTACCCAGGTTTAAACCTCTGAATCATCATCATCCACTCTTCATTTTTACTCATCCCCCATGTCTGACCATTATCCAATCCTCGTTGATTGTACCTCCACAGCATCTTTTACTTCATCCCTTTCTTTCCCCTCACACCAAAATCAACCTGACCTTTCACCTAGATTATTACAGTGGTCTCCTAATTGTTTTCCCTGCATCCAGTCCATCCTCCTCATAGTTGCCAAATTGATATTCTTTTCTTTTTTTAAAGTGAGGCAATTGGAGTTAAGTGACTTGCCCAGAATCACACAGCTAGGAAGTATTATGTGTTTGAGACCATATTTGAACTCAGGTCCTCCTGACTGCAGGGCCGGTGCTCTATCCACTGCGCCACCTAACTGCCCCCTCAAATTGATATTCTTAAAGCACTGCCCTGTTCTGGAAGCTTTGGTGATGCCCTAGGCATCTTAGCCAAAACACAAGCTCCTGCATTTGGCATTGAAAGCCGTCTGGCTCTCCCTGTTTTTCCAAGCTGGTTTCATGTTAGTCCCGCTCTCATGCTCTGTGTTGGATGCAGACCAGCCCACTGATTGTTGCTTATGCATGACAATTCTTTTCTTGCCATTGTACTTTGCACAGGCCTTTCCTGATTCCCCATCATCCATCCCATCTCTCTCATCTTCTCAGCAAAGAAGCTTCTGGCTTTGGAAGAGGGAACTCCCTCTCCTGAAAATTCCCTATTCCATTGAAATCTGTGTCTCTCCCTATCCCCATATGTACTTATCTGTACATATAAGACATTGTGTCTCACCTCTACCCTCCTCCCAGTAGAAGGCAAACTCTACCCTTCACTTAAAGAGGTGAGGCTTCTCTCACTTTTGCATAGGACCTAAAAGGAAGAAGCAGTTAATGAATGTTTGTGGGCCGATTGTTTTACAAAGACTCTTAAAATGTCAGTTATTAGTTAAATCTTATCTTCTGTTCCTTAGATATGAACAAGCAAAGAACCTCTCCCGAGATCTGGAGAAGCAGGCTACCCGAGTACTTGAAGAGGCAAAACGAGCTGGAGACAAGGCTGTAGAGATTTATGCTAGCGTTGCCCAGCTAACGCCTGTGGATTCTGTGGCCCTTGAGGTGTGGAGTCTCTGTGCATACACACATACATACGTACATACACACACATGCTTACACACATACACGCACGCATGCACGCGCTGCGCAGTAGAGGAGCCATCAAGTGCCGTGATTATTTTAGAGTGATTGGATCAGAAATCTCCTTGTCCCATTCCATCTAGTAAGCTGGCCACACCTTACAATGCCTGAGCCCAATTATTATTACAAGCATGCCTCACTTTATGCAGTTTCTCTGTTGCTAGAAAGTCATTCACACTTACAGTGTCTGGCATAAAGTTTGTTGAACAAACAATGTTTGTCCAATTGAAGTCATTTTAAAATCTAAATCAGATTTTTAAGTGTAGTAGTGTTATTTAAAATAAACAATAACTGCTGAACGATAGAACCATTTAATCCTATGGCAAAAGCTTTTACAAAAGCGAAATCCTTTATCCAGACAATTAGCCCCCCTAAATCTCCAGCAGCTTGCTCTATATGCCCACCCAGGATGTCCTGTCTGCATCTCTGCCACAACATGTCTAGAACCAAACCTGTCTTCCTCACCAGATCTGCCCTCCCTCTAAACTTTCCTATTTCTTTTTGAGGCATCAATGTCCTTTCAGTGAGTCAGCACAGACGTAGATTATTGGGCTGGGATTCAGGTAGAATTGAGTTCAGATCCTGTCTCAAATACTTAGTAGATTATGACCCTGGACAAGTTACTATGCTCAGCCTCATTTTCCTCATCTGTAAAGTAGGAATAATGGTAATAATAATAATAACAACAACACTTACCTCACTCGGTAGTTCTGAAGATCAAATGAAATTACATAGGTAAATCTTTTTCTACACCTTAAAGCAATTATGTAAATGCTATCTGTCTGTCTGTCTGTCTATCATCATCAAAGTCATCCAGGCTTGTAACCCTTGAGTTATCCTTGAGTCTTCCCTCACTTTTGTCCTACATATTTTGCCTTCTTTTCTCTCCATTTACATGGACACCATCCTAGTTCAGGCCTTCCTTAACTTCTGTCTGAACTACTATCATAGCTTCCTAATTGGCCTTCTTGCATCTGTCCTCTCCTTTTTCCAACCATTCTCCACCCAAGGCAGATAAACTCCTTCAGGCAGAAGTCCATCACTCAGTCACTCCCCTGCTTAAATACCTTTAATAGCTCCCCATTGCCTTGAAGATAGAAAACAAACCCCTCAGCCTCAAAGACACCCTACTGTCTTTCTACTACTTACCTTGATAGCCTTATTTCATTTGACTCTGTGGCATAGATGCTATGCTCTGGCAGCACAGACCTACTTCCCTTTCCCAGATTTATAGATTTGCATAATCTTTATCTGCTTTTTAAGGCTTAGCTGAGGTGTTACTTCTGGGTAGACTTCCATGATTCCCACCCAACCCCCCAGGCTAAAACTGTTTTCTTACTCCTCAAAAGGCACTTTGTCTAGCTCTTTCTTGGGCCCATTTTCATATATTTTACTCATTCATGCATGTCATATCCCACAACGACTCTCCGGTAAAGTACAGGTTCCTTGAGGGCAGGCTCTTTTGTTTTTATCTTTTTGTCCCCAGCTATCCAGCCCAGTGCTGTGTATTGTAACAAATGCTATTGAATTGAATAGAAGAGTATTTATGTAAATCTGTGCTTTAATATATTAGATTTGATTAGAGTGAGCAATGCTAGTATAACACCCCCTCTTACTGCTAAGAAGAATTTTAGTAAAAGGATCATGTCAAGATGCTTTCAATTACATCAAAAAGGATAGAACCATATGTATCAACTCTGCACTCTCCTAATTCCCAACTGTATCTCAAGGCCTGTGCAACTGAATTGTCTTCAGTCTGCCTATTAATGTCCTGGTGAGCTTGTAGACACACACGCTCCCTCGAATACACACAGTGCATGTTTGTGCTGGATTTGTTTGGCATTTTTATGGCACTCAGTTTTGCCATTAAGACTACCTCAAAAAGTCCTAGCTCTCAGATCATGACCTGTTATGTGTGAATTTGTACCATGAGCATTAGGGATTTCTGAACTATACTCTCCAGAAATATCGTTGCCTTTTTAAAATAAACTGATCTTTTTTCTTTGTTTTTTGAAGAATGAGGCTAATAAGATAAAGAAAGAAGCAGAGGCCCTGGACCAAATGATGGACAAGAAGCTAAGGGACTATGAGGACCTCCGGGAAGACATGAAAGGCAAGGAGCTTGAGGTGAAGGACCTCCTGGACAAAGGAAAGACGGAGCAGCAGGTGAGGCTGGTGTGCGAGTAACATAACTATTAGGAGTTGAGGCCAGGATGGGGGCACTGGAGAGGGGAGGAGGTTGTACTAATTGGGCTGCTGTCATTGAATGGCCATGCTTGCTGCTATGATGGCCTGGAGGCTTTTGTCTTGGAGTTTCTCATTGCTCTGTCTTGTGTTTATAGACAGCTGACCAACTCTTAGCCCGAGCTGATGCTGCCAAGGCTCTTGCTGAGGAAGCTGCTAAAAAGGGGAAGAATACGTTACAAGAAGCCAATGACATTCTCAATAACTTGAAAGGTAGAAGAGAAAACCACTGGGACAAACAGATTTGTGATATTCCTTTACTGGGTCACTGTCTTCATGTGACTTAAAGGTGGACACGTATTGATAGATGAAAACTGTCATTTTAAATTTCTTCTGCTGCTTTCCCTCCAATCCTAGAGCACTAAGACTATAAATATAACAAGATTAACGATACCTAGTGCCTTCTGCTAAAATCTGTTTGCGGTTCTACGTTACAGTACTACCCGTTGCCTTTCTTAGATAGAAAATGCAAAAGTAAAAAATATTTGCTCCAGAAGAAGAGATGCAGTCAGGTGGCTTGCGACTCCTCAGCATGTCCATTAGTGGATACTTGAATGTCTTTCACTCTTTTCCAGGCGTCTAGCAGTCGGTCTGTGTTCTGTTTGTTCTTTATTTCCTTGGCTTATGAGGTTTGTCTTGCAAAGCCCTGTGGAATCTCACTACAATGCCTTCCTGATTGTTGGTAACTATTAAATGTCTGTTTAGATTTTGATAGACGAGTAAATGATAACAAGACAGCAGCAGAGGAGGCCCTAAAGAAGATCCCTGCCATCAACCGGACAATTGCTGAGGCCAATGAAAAGACACGAGAGGCGCAGCTGGCCCTGGGCAACGCGGCTGCAGATGCCACTGAAGCCAAAACCAAAGCCCACGAGGCAGAAAAGATTGCAGGGGCTGTGCAGAAGGTGTGTATGTTGGCATCTCCAAACAAAGGGGTTTTTTTTATTCTCCTCAATTCTTTTTCTCTTCCCCAATAATAAAAAAAAATCACATTATCGTCTTTGCTTGAAACAAATTATTTTCTTTCCCCTTGTGATCCTGAGCAAGTCACTTAACCTCTACTGCCTTAATTTCCTCATCTGCAGTAATAGCACCTTACCCGCCAGGGTGGTTGTGAGAATAAAATGAGATAATATTTACGAAGTACTTTTCAGATTTTTTAAAGTTCTATATAAATGCCAGCTGTTATCATTATCTAGCGAGTTAGTACTCAACAAGATACCATTTCAGTAAATGCAGTTGTCCTAGCTGGGCCAAGGGTAGAAGGTCATAAATTGAAGAGATTTCTTTATGTTGAAGTTTCTTTGTTCTGGAACTTAGTTCCACTCTCTTGGAAATCAGTGTAGAAGCTAAGAAATAGAAATTACTAAGATTGTGGCTTATTCTGATATTAATAGCCAGTAATTATTTGATTGTTATTTTAGGCCACTTGAATATTCAGGTCCTTGGTTTTTGTGGGATACTTAGGTGAGAAGGTTATGGTCAGCTTATCTTACGATAAATTATCCAGAGATGAGCATTTGGTTATTAGCATTGCTACAAATAGCAAAATAGAAATAAGGTTTATGTTCTGCTTCCAAGTTGCTTAGGAAATCCAGCATGCATAACTCTTTGGCTTTAAAGAATCCAAAACATCTGTGAAAGATAATTTAGTAAATTATACTTTAAAATTTTTTGAGATTTATGCATTATAATTGTCTCATGAAGAATAGAAGGAAAATGTCTTAGAAGAGAACAAATGAAAAGGGTAATATTTGTGTGTTACACCTAGAATGCCACCAGTACCAAAGCAGAGGCAGAAAGAACTTTTGCAGATGTTACGAGTTTGGACAAAGAGGTGGATGAAATGTTGAAACAATTACAAGAAGCAGAAAAGGAACTGAAAAAAAAACAAGATGACGCTGACCAAGATATGATGATGGCAGGAATGGTGAGTGATTTGGGGTTTCTGTGTACCTGGTCACCCATGAAGCAGGGTGGGACTGCTCAGCAGGAGCAGGAGCTTTTCGGAAGACCAAGTACAGTCCAGGCTTCTACCCTCTAAGCACTGGCTCAAGGGCTGGATGGTCTCAACCTTCCTGGTGGATGTTTGTGGTGCAGAGATGCACAGCTCCATAGTTATTACTCTCCTATACCCCCAAAAGCTGGGTACTGGAGAGGGGAGGAGGGGAAGAACTGCTACAGTTGTGATATTTTGGAAGATGTCCCCCTTCATTGTAAATATCATCCCACAACTTCAAGATTCTTCCCTTCACGATGACATATAGATATAAAAGAGCTTGTAATATCATAAATAGAAGTCTTGTGTATATGAAACCCAAGACAGGACAGAAAAGAGATTCTTCTTGCTCTGTCAGAGCCAAGGTTTATGCTTTTGAAGGACTTTATTTTAATTCGTGATCAAAGAGGTGACTTAAATATGTGAATTTAGATGAAAAAATGATCCTAGTATAAGTATATATTTCTAAATAGGCACTTTGACGGAGCTCAAAAGACCTTTCTTGTCTCACTACTTAGAAGAAAGACATTCTTATGTGAGAGTTAATTGGCTAGAAAAAGGAAGTATTATGCTTGTTAATACAACAAATCAGCTGTGCTTAGGTACTCTACTTTCCATTTTCCTTAATTTCCATAAAAAGATGCATTATGGCAAGTAGAAATCCTATTGGATTTTCTTTTTGGGATGTGTATTTTAAGGGTTTGACTATAAAAAGTGTGTGTGTATAAAGTTTGGATTGATTAAAGAGAAACATTTAAGTTATGTGAGGAAAATAACATTTTAAAATAGAACTTAAGATAGCTAAGGAACATTAGACGTAGAAAGGACCTTCGAAATTTATTTAGTCCGATCCCCTTGTTTTACAGATGCAAAGACTGAAATCTGGAAACATGTTCTCTGATCTCTGTAGCACCTCTGAAGAGAGTTAGTTGGACAGACCTTGCTACATTTGCTGCATAATTTTGGATAGCTATTAGGCTGCTTTAAGTACTTTAATATTTGGAGTGTAGTGAGAGAGAAATACTGTGTCATGGTGGTGTTTCTTGTAATTGAGAGCATCTTCCGAGAGTAAAAGAGCAGTTCTCCAGAGAGCTTCTCGAAACCTAATAAAAACCCATTGGATTGGGAACAGTAACAAAAATATTATTTCTTATGGAATTTTCTCTGTGTTTTTTGTTGTTGTTTGTTTTCTTTTGTCTCTCTCAGAGGAGTAGGTAAGGTGCTGAGAAGCAGCATGGTCCAGTGGAAAGGGCACTGCACTGGGGACAACGGCTTGAGTCTGAATCCTGGTTTTGTTACTTGTGACCTTAGGGTTGTTTCTTACTCCTTTCGAGCCTCAGTTTACTTATTTACGATAATGAGAGAGTTGGGAAAGGTGGCCTATAAGATGCTTTACTAGACCAGTGAGCTTTGGTGCTAAATCTTGGCAGATTTCTAGATTGCACTATTAAATAGATGGTTTGGGTATGCTTATGGGAGCTGTGATCTGGGAATCAGCAGGTGAGCTCATAAAATATGTCCTATCAGTCTGACGTTATTTCCCATTTGCTCCATTAAGGAAATGTCAGGAGCTTAGCATAGCTAGATCATACTGAAACATTTGATGGTCTTTCCTTTTGTCTTTATGGAGAAAATCAACATTCCACAATTCCGTTCATAGATATGGACCATCGTCACCCCACGTAGCCAGTCATATCTTTTCTTGTACATCTCCACCACATCTCTTACACCTGGACCCTTCTCCTCATATCCTCCACTTTAGTTCATGCTATCAACACCACTTGCTTAGATTGTTGCAGCTGCCTCCTCCTTGGTCGCCCTGTTTCAGAGCTCTCCTCACTCTCGGTCACTCTTGGTCTACTCCTCTTAGCTGCCAAAGTGATTTTCCTAAGTGTAGATCTGACCTATTGGCTCTCAGATTAAATGTGGACTCCTTTGTCTGGTTTCTAAAGCCCTTCACATTATGGGCCCCACCCTATCTTTTAGCCTTTTTTATATATGATTAGTAAGCCCTCCCCAGCCCTCAGTTGTGCAGTCCAGCTAAAATGGCCCTTTCTGTGTTCTTCACAATCCTCCATCCCCCCATCTCTTTGCCTTTGAGCTGCCTATCCACCTCCACTTCATAGAAATCACCAACTTCTACATGAGCCCTTTCCTGATCCTCTTAATTCCTTATGCCCTCCATCCCCAAACTCTTGTATTTGTTCTTTTAGACTTGTTTCTCCCTTAGAATATTAGCGCCTTATATGACTAGGAGTTGTTTTTCTTTGTATTGGAATCCTCTGTGCCTAGTATAGTTCCTGGTTTATAGAAGGTGCTTTTAAAATGCTGATAGATTGATTGCCAACCCTGAGAGAGGTTTTTAGTGGAATGCCATGGGGTTCTTTTATCTTTGATTCTATTCTAGTCTGCATTTTTGTCATTGAGTTGGCTGAAGTTATAGGCAGTATGCTTATCAGAATTGTAAGTAATACTAAACTGAGGGGGAAGTATAGCTCATATATTGGATACCAGACTCAGTGTCTAAAAAGATCTTGAGGGAAGTGGATGAATTAGAGGCTGCATCCAAATTGATGAGATGACATATCCATTTGATTTGAATAAGATTTAGCAATTAAAAACCCAGAACAAAACGCCAAGACTTTTGTGGACAGAAAATATTGGAGGGTTATGGTGATGGGAAATTCAGAACAATTGAATAAATACAGGCTCCAGTTATTAAGCATTTCAGATGTCTTACCTCTCAAAGAACAAACAGTGCTTTGGAATGCCAAAATGATTTTCAGAAATACCTATTTAAACATAACAAATGTCTCTAAGGTTCCAAATTGGACTTTTATTATCCAAGCCTTAAAAATTGGAAACTTGAAAATCAAAGCTGATGTGTAGTTTTCCCCATAGTCATGGTGAAAATGTTTGTGGAAAGAGACTAGAGTGCTCAGCATTTTTAGATATTCACCTAGACGTTCCTCTGATGGTAATTTTGTAAAGTGTTTGTTTTTTTTCCCTAGTGGCAAAATACCCCATAGATGGAGTAGCCAAATTTGTTTATGTAATCTTTTCCCATTAATATTATGGAATTAATGAACTGAAAAATAGTCCAGCCCAAAATACTCTGCCCTTAGAAGGATTAGAATTTTGAATCTCTAGAAACAGTGGGGTCAAATTCCAATAGAACTGGATCCATCCAGGCTACTTATTGACTTAGAAAACAAAAATAACATTATGTTGTATTTTCATTTATTTTGTCAAACATTTCCTAATTACATTTTAATCTGGTTCCTTGCATTAGGATTTTTACTAGCTTTGAGTTTGATACCTCTGTCTTACTAGCTTTGTTTCAAGTTATATATGCTTTCATTTACTAATTAGAAGGCAAAACAGTTCTCTTCCCATATTTAATTAAAATTTAGGGGGTATCGAAATAAAAATTCCAAAAATGAACCATTAAAAAACATTATTGGTTATCTGAGCTAGAGTTCATCATGAGGATGACAGAGGACATAAATAGAAACTTAGATTTAGTGGTCAAGTAAAATTTTTTAAACTACAAAAACCTTAAGTTTGATGAAAAGAAGAGAACATGCTGATTTGGGACAGCTGCTGAAACTTAAGAGGAGGGGGTAAAACTATCCCTTTGTACATTCTTTATTCTGGATATTTTCTTGTGCCAATCCTATAGAATTATACTCTGTTATGCAGCTTTCTGTCATGTTCCCTGATGAACATTTGGAGCCCTGCAAAAGGACTAAGTGATAGAAATTTCAAAATAAAACACAGTAAAAAGTGTACTGTGAAACATCAAACTCTCATGTCAGGTATCTCAGAATCACTCATTTCTATCCTTGCTACATTTATTTGCATCAGTGAAACCATCTGTTTTCTAGTATTTTAGTGGCTTCCTCTTTGATCACAGTTTCCTGTGACTCATGTACATTGTATTTATTCAAGTTACATGGAATTTTCCCTAATAAATTCACCTTTAGGTTTATTCTGAATCTGAACAGTATTGCCATAAATGATTTAATCTTAATTTAATTTTCTTTGGAGGAGTGGGGTGAAGAGATTTATTTAGTTATGAAAATACTTAGGGTTAGAACAGTATAGTTCTAGCAACCATGACTTCTTCGATAATCCTACAGGATTCACCACCCCCACCCCCCCAAATGGGCTACAAATATCTTGATTTATTGAGAAAGGTGACAGATGGGACTAGTCTTCATCTTTAAAAGGTGATTACAGAGAGCATGAATGTTATATGAACTGTATGTTTACCAGTATTGCTATGGGATGGATTTTAATGATTCAAACTTCCTTACTGAATGATCTAGAAAGAAGTCATCTCTCTGAAGAGAGAAATTGGAATTTTGTCAGCTTACAAAGAGAGTACAAATCAGAAAGTACGGTCTTTCTGTGTACTGAGAAAATAAAAAAGGAAGGAGAGTAAAGCCTATTGTTGATATTGACATATTTCACACACTTTTTTCCTACAGGCTTCACAGGCTGCTCAGGAAGCAGAGATTAATGCAAGAAAGGCCAAGAACTCTGTTAGTAGCCTTCTCACCATCATCAATGACCTCTTGGAACAACTTGGTATGTAGTTAGGAGTATGAACACTTCAAACACCAAAAAACACAGAATCCAAGGTTTTTTTTGATGCTTAAAGCAGATTATATGATATAGGCTTATCTGATCAAGTTGCCCTAAAATAGTTCATTAAATTTACGCTGCATAGTGTTTCTTTAAATTGTCTCATGACACAACTGTCAGCCATCGAAGAATCTTTCTTAGAAGGTCAGGAGTGGATAGGGATGATGTAAAGGGGTTTATTTCCTTTAGAAACTACATCTCTTGCCATATCACTACCTTACTTATTAAGCTAGCATTTCATTAAATGCCTGCTTGGAGCTCTTAATAATAAAGGGCACACCCAGTTCACATTGCTAGTGCTTTCTCCTCCTCATTTGAACCAGTACAACAATTCTAGTATAGTGAGAAGAGCCCTAGAATGAGAGCCAGGAGACCAAGTTCTTGTTTCAGATTTTCCATTAATTAATTGTATGAGCATGATCAAGTCAACTTCTATGGGTCTCAGTATTCTTATTTGTAAAAGAAGAGGATTGGTCATTAGGGATTAGGTCATCTCTAATGTTCTTTGATGATCTAAAAATTCAGTGATTCTAAATGTTTATTTTATAATAAGTACATATTAAAATAGAAACTTTCTCAAATTGTCCTACCTGGTGAACGACATCAGTGTCCTGGATAGAATGATCCATTTAAGATGAAGGGTCTCAATCAAAGGATTCCTTCAGAAAAGTCCTAGACCTGGCATCCTTGTCCAGAATACCTCTTGGTGCTCACACATACATTTAGATGAGGAAATGAAAACAGATGATGAAAGCTGAGCTTGCAGGAAAACTTTAATATCCTGGAACATTTTTAATACTGTTTAAGATGGAGCAAACTTCATTATGAAGCAAAGCTTTCTTGGGCTCTGTAGAAGTGGGTTAGGTGATTAAACTACCAAACTGTGTCATTACAAAGGAGTTCTACCTATAAGGGAGTCTTAACAGCAGAGAGAGCTTTATCTTCTATTTTCTTAAATTAGAAGGTGTTTGGAGTCTGTTTCAAGCAGCCAAAGTCATTAGTTTGCCAGCAAGAGGAACAGCTGTTTTATGATACTATGTTTTCACTGCTTCACTAATACTTAAAAAACAAACAAACATATCTTTTAAACTCTCTCTCTAAGTTTATTATGGAAGACTAACCTATCAGAAATTTTCCCCCCTAGATTTTAAATCAAACCTAAATGCACCAGCATTCTTGGACTGGAGGGGGTAATTTATTTTCTCCTTCTCCTTCCAATTTCCCCTAAAACATTGTAATCCTGAGAACTGATCTACTTTGCCTGGAATAAATCTTTTGGGAGTGAGAAAGTCTGAAAGTATACTCAACAAACTAAAAATTATCATGCTACACTGGATGCCACTAAAATAACAATGCAGTCACATATGCAAACTAGATTAAATGTTATAGCTGTCTTTCCATTATGGAAATTAAATGACCTTTAAAATTCACACGAAAAGTTTGAGGTCCAGAACACTTATCCCCAAATTAGAGGATTTTGGTCATTGTTATCTTATCAATAAACCTGACCTATATAATAAGCATTTAATAATGCTTGTTGATTTGTCTTGAGAGAATATTTTACAGAAAACGGAAGTAAATGTTTTCTCAAAACCAATCAAACAAGTGTTAGTTTGTGTGTTATGAGTCATTCCAGCTGGATTAAAGTCAATGTGTTTATACTTTGTATACATTGTTTATATTCCATGTACTGTGTCACTTATTTAGAAGTCACGTTCTGCAGGCTCCTTCTGCCTGGTTGAAGCTGCCATGCTTAGTTTGTTAAGGTCTTCAAGGGATGTGTCTCATCCTACTACTGAGTCTTTTCCTGGAATTACCACTTGTCTCTGTATTTTCTTACTCTATAGGGCAGCTGGACACAGTAGACCTGAACAAGCTGAATGAGATCGAGGGCACCCTGAACAAAGCCAAAGATGAAATGAAGGTCAGTGATCTTGACAGAAAAGTATCTGATCTAGAAAATGAAGCCAAGAAACAAGAGGCTGCCATTGTGGACTACAACAGAGATATTGAGGAAATCATGAAAGACATTCGCAACCTAGAAGACATCAAGAAGAGCTTGCCATCGGGCTGCTTTAACACCCCCTCCATTGAGAAACCCTAAAGGCATGTCAGCAGGGCGGGGGCGGCCTTCCCGCAGTGACCGGTGCAGTGGTGGCGAGGCTGTGGAGCGCCTTCGCACACAGATGACCTTCTTCAGACCCCTCCTCTCTGCTGCTCTTGGTCGCTGTTCTTTATGAACTAGGAAAAGTTGCAAAGTTCAAAGAGAGGCAAATTAAATTTCTATCTTTGGGCATCAAAGGGTTTTCTTTTATAAAGTCTCTCTCTTCCACCCTCTTCCTACCTTACCTACAGTCTCCCTTTTGATTTGCACAAGGACACAAAGTGTCCTGGATTACAGTACAGTGGTACAGATGCAACTGTGCGTGAACCATTGTATGACAAGGCGCAGGAAGCACATGCTCTTGCTTCTCTAATTGCCACCTAAAAGACCCTCCTCAGCCCTAGTCAGATCTCTTCATTTTTTTTTTTATGAAGGAAACAGTGGCTACTAAAGTAGCAATGGAAAGGCTTGGAGAGCCCCACCTCCAGAGAAAGGAATGATCCTCTGGAGCCCTGCCCCTCGTTCAGCAGAATTTTAAAGGAAATCAACCTCCCTGTGCCAAAAGTAATGTCCAGTTAGAATTTTGGTAGCAGTCTACCAAGTGTTTTACCATCTGTTCTGAGTGCAATACACTGAGCCACCTGCTGATTTTAAAAAGATGCTGTTATTTATATTGTTATTTAGCAGCCCCCAGGACAGAAGAAGTGGGCTTAAAGTTTTCCTCAAAAGCCTCTCATGGCCTGAAAAGCAAACCATTTCCCAAATTTTTGGGTAGTCAGCTAATTCTCTAGGCTGGCAGCTTGCAAGATGGGAATCTGTTTTGCATTCACCAAAACACTTGCATCCCTCTGTGTGAAGTTAATATAGAGAGATTTTATGTAAGAATGAAATAACCACTGAAGTTTTGTGTTTTGTTTTTTTTTTTTAAGGAAAAATGAGTCAATACTTAGCAGTTTTTTGGGATATATAATAGTTTTGGAGGTAGTGTTAAATCATCAGGCAGAATAATTGGTCACTAAGATCTTGGTTAAAAAAAATCCTTTTTATTCATATCACTTACAAAAGGATAAAAATTTTTGCTCATTTGGAATTATGTCAAGTTCCCTTACATTCTCCTGGAGAGAGATGAAATTCTAAACCCTTTAGTCCTGTCTTCTCAGTGTTCCCACCGTCAGAAATCAAAGAGTACCCTGTTTGTGTCTAAACCTTGGTGGCTTATCAGTTGCACTCTCTGTATGTCCCACAACTGCCACCATCATCTAGAAGCCTCCACCTCATAATTTTCACCTGTTGCAAAAACTCTCTCTCCTTTATGTTGAGGGAAAGCACTCACGGGGAGCTTCCTAGTCGGCTTTTCCACTTTTTATCCTCAGCCCTGTGATTTTTCTCCATAGATCACAGTACAGAGGCCCTCTTCTTACGCCCTGACTCCCTGCCTTTGAGATTCATATATAGCCTTTAACACTATGCAACTTTGTACTTTGCGTAGCGGGAAAGAAACTATTATCTGACACACTGGTGCTATTAATTATTTCAAATTTATATTTTTGTGTGAATGTTTTTTTGTTTGTTTTGTTCATCATAATTATAGATTAAGAAATTTATGTAAATATACTTGGTCCTGTTTCCAGAGTGATAGTGTCTGTTCTCCTCTTCCCTCCATATTTCCTTTTAACCAGCACAACAATTTGCATCACGCTTTCTCGTGCCTCTTACTGTTTCTTCCATTTATAATTCCTCTGGATTAAGTATTCCCCTCTAGTGCCCTCCTTTGTACCCACTGCCTTGTGTTTGCAGTATTTGTAATCCATAGTATTGGTAGATAACTGTTTACCTGAACACACGATCTCTGAAGATAAAAGAATCCCTCAGACATCCCCCAGATACAGCACCAGGTTACCCTGAACAGTTACATCTGCAGACTATAGAGTCCTTTGTGTCTGTTATGTAATAGCAATGCAAAACTGACTTGGGTGTAGTAGAATTAGGGAGTGCTACTATAAGGGTCTGCAGCACTGTTATGGGTCCAGGTAGAAGTGTATTTCCTGGATGTCATCCCTGTGTGGGTGTATGTGAAATGTGAGAGCTTAACTGTTAGATTTCCATTAAGGCATCAGGGACAGTGCTATAGGAGGGTAGATGGGGGAGGATACTTAGTCTTTGAATATGCCTCTCCCCTTGCTATCCCCTAGGGCATGCTAGAGTTTACCAAAAATTCTGTGACTTGGCATTCCTCTGCCCTTTGACACCTTTGCATCTCCCAGGCCCCTCTTGCTACCATAAAACCAGTTGCTTTTTTTACGCCAAGTTTTCACATCAGTATTTCCTGACCAGCTTTTGTAGTAAGGTGGTCATATCTTAACACTCATCTCCTGGTCAAGGCTGCAGGAAAAGACAAGAGAATCTGCCAGCATCGATTTCCTCCCATCTTTTCTACCAGGTGCACACCAGCTAGTCCTGGGCCGAGGTCAGGGATTGTTGGCTTTTTGATTTTCTTTCCTCACTTCTGTGGTGGTATGGTGTTTTGTTTTTTTTTTAACAGAATTTTATTTTTTAAATAAAGATTCTTTATAAGAAAGTTCTTCAATTGCACCCCTGCATTACAGCCAGTATTACATCTGTCCTTTGCATAATGGCATTGACAACATGGCTATCATGGGGAATGTATGAACACTGCTGTTCTTTGCCTGGAATTTGCTCCTTTTTGATCTTGACTGTGGCCTTTTTTATGTGCCTTCACTTGAGTTTCTTGCCTTAATCTCTGCAGTCTTGCTGTCTGGGAAGGTGAACAAAATGCAACACTTGGCGTTTTTTATGTATAAAACAGTATTTTTATTTATAATAAAGTCTGAATATTTGTAACCCCTCATATACTTGGTGTTGTCTGAGTATGACTTTGTGGGGAAAAAAAAAGAGAGGAACTTTGTTATAGGAGTAGAAAAAAATTTTAAGTGGTAAAGAATAACGGGTAAAAAAATCTTGTTAACATGGATCGTTTTCTGAAAAGGTGATTCCATGTGGCTTTATCTTCTCCAGAGACTTGATAGCGAATACCATGTTGACTGATACATAATAGCATTTTAAGCACTTTACATATAGTATCTCGTTTGATTCTCAACATAATTTTGTAAGGTAAGTACCAGAGTTGTCCCCATTTTACAGATGAAGAAACAGAGGCTCAAAGAATTTAACTTAACTGTCCTTATGGTGACACAACTAGAAAGTGTCACAGACAGATTTTAAACTCAACTGTCTCCTGTTACAAGGTTAGCACTATATCCACTACAGTAAATCAGAGTATGTCTTCCAGTGATGAAGATTGAAAGAGATTTCAAGGTTAGGGAAAACTTTGTAAATGAGGGATAGGGGGCCCTCATTAAATTGCCTTAGTGATTTTTCCATTTGTCACACATTCTATCTGCATTCGAGAATAGGATACCCATGTAACCCACTCTGACAGAAGAGCTGGCTAGTGTGTTTCTCCTTTAGGAGAAGCAAGTTCCAACATTCCCTGAGATGAAAGGGTATGTGTCAGTAAATTGGTAACTAGTGCCCTCTAAAGCTTTCTCTGAGGAAATTTCCATAAGAGATGCCCACAGTATGTCCCTACATGTCTCCCTTAGTTACGGTCCCACCCGGAGCGTCAATCTAAAGAGTACGCTGAACTGTGGGGTTCCCTAGCAGAGGGATCTGAGCCTCAAGTTTCTAGGTTGTCTAGATTTATTTGTAGCTTCTGTAAACACCAATAAGTCTTAATGCTTGATCTTAATCCAAATAGTCTAAGAAGTAACATTATCTATGAGCCTTTATGGGGTATCAAAAAAAAAAAGTCAAATGTTAACTTCATCTTTCCAGCCTTGTAAGATCTAGAAGTTCAGTGACACTGGTGAAGAAACCAAATACAAGCTGAATTTTCCTCAAAGTGTTAAAGGACATAAGTTATTACCTTTATTACAAATGTTCTTCCTAAATGTGCTTTTCGTTTCCAAAAAAAGTGATTTAAATGCTGATACTTACTGTTCTTAGGTTCTGAAGGTAGTAGTTTTAAACTTTGCATTTATGCCAATATGTCCTTCTACTTCAAAGGTCAGCAATGTCTTAGAGGTTGGCTGCAACATAATCTTCTGATCCCCAATATCACAAAAGTTTTTTTTTTCATAAGCACCTATTGTATACGGAGCTCTGTGCTATGTGCTTGGGGAGATAGAAAGTCATGGTATCAAAGCTTATGTGCAGAGATTAGACACAAACAGGAGTATAATAAATGATATTACATGATAAGACTTTTAAAACAGTGTTGTGTGAGATACAAGAGGGAAGGGCACCAGAGATCAGGGAAGAAAGGCTTTGTAGTAGAGCATTCAAAAGGATGTGCATTTAATTTTCCTCATTCATTTAAAAAGCTTTTACTGAACACCGGCTATGTGCGAGGCACTGGGGATGTAAAGGCAATAACCAAATAGTTCTTGCCCTCAAAGAGCTTACATTCTATTGGACAAGTCAGAATTAGAACAGGGTTTCCCTAAAGGGAACCAGTGACACTGAAGAATTTCATCTTCTTTGAGAGTAATGTGTTAACCCCCTGCTGTGTGTGGTGGGGTATGCATCAGCTTCATCCCATGGAAAAGAAAAGAATTTTTAAAATTCACTAAGATGCTAAGCTTAGTGTGAAAAAATTATGAATTTATTTAAGGAATTAGTAAAGATTTTCCTTGTTTCTTCCAATCAGAATTAAATAAAGTACTATGGTTTTAGAATTATCAGATATATATCTGGTATATTTGGGACTTGGTTGGCATTTGGAACCCTGTAGCCAATACAAAATGAGGTAGCTCATTTTATCATTGGATCTGGAATTGTAGAGATTTTAGAGGTTATCTGAAAATGATATTCTTAAAGCACAAGACTGACTATGTCACTTTCCATGCTTAGTAAACCCCAGTGGCTCTCATTACCTCCCCTCTGTTAAGTCTTCACCACTTTGACCTTATGTACTTTTTTAGCCTTTTTATAGACTACTTCTCCTTCATATATTCTTTGACACAGCCTTCATCCCCTTTCTTACCTTGGCACAGGCAAAGGTAATATGTTCTCTGCTCAGCGTATGTGAGCTACCTGCTACGTATGGCCTTTCCTGATCTCTATACTAATTGTCCCCTCCACCAAATCACCGTGGCTCCTTGATGCAGGGACTGTTTCATTTCTGCCTTTACATTCCGGTGCTTAGCACATTGGCCAGCATATAGTAAAGTACTTAGTAAACTAGTCCAATGTCATGACTTTACAAATGAAAAAATGGCCAGAAAAGATCATATGGAGATAAATAATAGAGCTAGGGTTTGAACTAGGTTCTCTGCCTCCAAATCCAGTGACATTTTCTACAATATGAATGAAAGAAATGAAAGAAAAAGCATTTATTAAATACTTATTATGTGCTGAGCATTGGGTATCCAAACTGAAAAATGAGAACTGACATTTTCCTTAGAGTCAATATGTACAGGAGGATTCAGCTACAAGGTGAGTGAAAGGACTTAGCAATCCTAAAGCTGCCACTGCAGGTAGATGGTAGGGCCCAGAGAACTTTTGAGATCTGACCACTGAGCTTCTCCATCTGCCTGGCATGGAGAATGGGGGATGGGACTATCGAAAACTTAGCAGTTCTTTAATCGAAGGAGGCCTCACATTAACTACAACTTCTAGTCCTGCTTACAAGCACCAGGCTGTAAGACCCTACCTCCACCATGTCCAGGCCTTTAAGAAAAATACCTTCTGCAACTTTTCTTTCATGGTGTCCTCTCCAGTTCCTGAGTACAGGCTCAGGCCTGTCCCAGAGAAGGTTTAAATAAATAAAATTAAATGCTTATACAATTAGTTAATATTTTTATATTGGTATACATTTTAGAAGACATCTAATTATGCAATGTATGGGTATAACATTGATTTACATTGATGAAATGGTAAAATGTGCTTGTGGTTATAGCTGTAATAAGTTGGGCATTAGGCGGTTTGCAGAAATGTAACATAGCTTATGAGAAAATTGATTAACATTGTTTTGATTTAATAGGGCCTTTTCTAGATACATAATCCACTCTAAGTATATAGAATGAGAAGATTTAGAACTAGAAGGGATCTAGTCCAAGGCCCTCATTTACAAATTGAGGGACCCTTAATGAGGGCTAGGTCTCACAAGTAAGTTGAACAGGCAAATTTTGAATTCAGATCTTATTATCCCAACTTAAGTGTTCTTTCCATAACTGCATGCTACATAGGACTGCCTATATATAATATAGCCTGTGGTCTAGAGCCAAAGTTCCAAGTTTTCATGAATGGAATTCTGTCTTGAAGGATTCTCACAAAAATCACTTCTCTCATTCCCCAATTTCCCTGGGAATACCTAAATTTGGCTCATTGTTAGATCTTTCTGTTGAGAGAAAAAAGTCCCTCAACCCCTGTGCAAGCACTTAGGTTAAAAAGACAGAATTTAGGACAGACTTTTATATAATCTAACCTAACCTGTGTATTAAGAAGCTCTAATCATTTGAGGAAATCCAGGAATAAAATGGGGGAAGCATGATGAAGAGTATTTGTGAGAGGGGGGAGGAGAGTGGGAATTTGAAACCAAAAATAAAATAAATGAATTTTTTGAAAAAGTATTTGTGTGAATGTTAGTGGAGGGAGAAAAGGGGGTGATTTTACCATTTGAGGTTAATGGAGATTCCCTAGACAGACCTAACATAAAGGTATGAATGATACAGCATTAATGGGAAATTTTAATTATCCAGATATCTGCAAGAGCAAACTCAGTGGGCATCAGTAGTGTCATGTGACAGTCCCCAAACCAAAAGCTAATGCAGTCTTGGGCTGCCTTGAAAGAAGCATAGCTTCCAGGAATATCAGGTGATGCTTCCTGTATTCTGTTTTCATTAAATCTCATCTGGAGTATTGGGTTCAATTTTGGATGCTACATTTTTGGGAAAATAGTGGTAAGTTAGAGAATGTTCAGGATGGGCAACTGGGATGGTGAAGAGCAAGGAGTTCGTGTCATATGAGGACCAGTGGTAGAAGCTGTCAGTATCTGGGCTAGAGAAGACTCAAGGGGGGCTCATAACTGTCTTCAAGAATTTGAGGAGCTCTCATGTGATGGGGGTTTTAGGTTTGTTTGACCCCACAGCATAGAACCAAAAGCAATGGATGAAAGTTGCCAAAGGGCCATTTTAGGCTTGATGCCAGGAAGAACTTCCTCACAGTGAAAAGTCAGAAAGTGAAATGGGCTGCCTAGAGAAGCAAAAACTTGATGACCACTGGTCAGCTGTGTTAGAATGTAGATTCTTTTCTTGATTGGATTGGAACAGATGGTAGCGGAGGTCCTTCCCAGCTTAAGTTCTAGACTGGGAATTGCAGAGCTCCCTTAAGGAACTCAAACTTCTCCCTGAAACAAAGACCAATATTATTAATAACAGCATTCCACTTGTGTGGTGGTATGGTTATGAGCCATAGAACACCAAAAAATTAAAAGTTAGTATCACGCAGAAGGCAATGGAGAAGTGCATGGTGGGTGTGAACAGCCCGTTTGGTAATACGCAGACAAGCATAACCCTAAAGGGAACCCCAGGGTCACAAGTCTGTGAACAGTTTGTATGCTCCAGTGGTATCTTTATGTTGACAAGAGAAAGCAAGAAACGCCCACAACACTTTGGGTAGAACCCCCTCTCCCACCCTGGTGAATTTATGGAAAGATGTTCTCATTCACTTATTGATTACCCAGACAGGAGATGCACAGGGCACAGATGAGTGTCCTAAGATGGACAAGCATGAATGGATTGCGATATGTATCCCTGAAGGGAAATATTTGCATCAGTGATCACAGAT